CGTTGCTCGTGGCGTGTTTACATGCAAATACTTCAGTCCATTTGGACCAGAGATCCACCAGAACCAGACAGACAGTATTTCTTACCTTGGCATGGTGCGATGGGGCGGGGCATGGGCAGCCTAAGGAATAATTTGGAACTTACCCGGGTTCTGTGCCAAAGGTTTGGCAGAACCTCAATTGTGTGTAATTTAAGTTACACATCCCTCCTTTTCAGGCATGGTCTCGGCCATGTGCTGAAGGCACAAAGTCTCTGAAGAAATGCTGTGGCAAACCCGGTTTGAGGTTTACCCAGCAACCCACCAAGGCCATTTTTCGCCCACAGCTCCATCTCGTCTGGAGTAGCCAGTGCCTGCATATGGGCAGAGGCAGGTATGCCTTGTCTGCCTTGTCTGCATTCGCCCGCTGCCTGCTCACGAGCCCCAGTGACCGCGACCAGCTTGTGCTGAATGGTGTTTGGGCAAACAATATAAAAATCAGAACACACAACATAACAGACTCGGTTGTAAAATTGTCGACACTCACACTTCCAGCAGCCGGTCTGTACCTGTGGAATCCTGCTCCAAAAGAAACAGCAACGGTTCGTTAGTTTCAAGTTATTCAAATGAAACAATGGTGTGTTATGTGTCAGTTTGTTAGTGGTTAGTTGTCATTAAATGCACTGCTCAGCCTGTTGAGAAAAAGGAAAAGCAAGAATCTATCCAGAATTTATCCAGCGGACACAGTTATCCTGTGTCCGCTGCGGGTCGTGTTTGTGGTCATCTGCCTGTAAATAAATGACCAGAAACGCACATCAAATATACACACACACACAACGATCAACTGGGACACACAATGACATCAACACAAACAAAAACGCTTGCGCAGTAAGTTGTCAGGTCAGGTCAGAAAGTCATTGTAAAAAAAAATGTTTGTTCAGGCCATCAAATTTCATATCTTTTCATATCTTTCAGCCCAGAATTTGTTGAGCGCTCTTATTTTGAAAGCGTGATCGTCTTTCACCCATCCGTTCCACTAGTGGAGAAAAATAAGACACCACCGCAGTGCAAAAAGGAAAAATAAATAAATCAAAATGTCAAAAACCACAACCCCAAAACTACGTAAAAAGTAAATTCAAAAGCATTAAAACAATAAGGACCTGAGTGACCAACGTCATGCACTATTGTGATTGGCTTTTTGCCCCACAAGAGTGTGATAAAAATAAGTCCCATTTTGATTTCACCACGTTGATTGTTCATTCTTTGTTTAATTCAGTTTAGAAGATCAGCTTTGGCCAGCCAATTTAGAAAATAAAAAATTGTTTCAACCCTCTGATCATGTTGAATTTAGGTATGCATTTTGGCATCTGTCCATCAGATTATGAAACAGATCTCCGTTGGGATAAGATTGTAACCCTTCACACCGTTTGTTAGGGTTTATCTCTTTGTTTTTGTTTTTTGCTTTTATGCAAACTTGGTGGAGAGTCAAAGGCACTAAAACACAAGATTCAAACCAGCATGTAAGTCCTTAATGTACGGTTTCATTCAACCCAAACAAGTGGCAAAAATCCAAAAAGCCACTCCAATTTTATCAGGCCTATTCAAAATCCTTCAGTGGGACCGTGTGCAGCCCCGGCGTGGTTGCTGCATACGGCGCTGGCAGCATGACCCCCGCCCCCCGTGGGGCTGAAGTGATGCTGTCAGGGCCAGAACACACATTTCTTCCTGCGGCCAGAGAACCATAAAAAAAATAAAAAAGGGCTTCTCCATGCGTTTGCATTTCTGGAGAACCACGAGTGTCCATCTTGGACCTGTGTCCAGCCTCCAGCACTGCTACACTTATTAATACATGCAGGGACCTCCCTCCACGCTGCAGGCGTGGGTTCGGACAAAACTGTGTGCAAAGTGGAGCACAGTGGGTCGATAAACACGTTAGGTAATACCGCGGAGTCGTGCCTATCCCAATAAACGTACTCCGTTAGCCTATCTTCACTACACTGAAGCCATGAGTTTTGTGAAGCGACCACTCATTTGAGAAAGGACCAAAATCTGTCACCTTATGTTTTGTTTTTAACACAGGATTTGTTGTCCCTGAATCATCCAGAATTTTAACTTTTACACCCCAGATTGTTAGCGTATATTACGGGAATTCAGCATGAATTATCTCTAAAAAGTGCCAATTGCAATTTGTTCTTGTTCAAACTTACGTGACATGAGCGGTCGCTTTGGTGACGAATGTGAACCCGGGTTTGATCAGTCGCTCGTGTTTCCTCCACGCCCGCCTCTGCCGTCCTCTGGCCCCGTGTGAGCTTGAGAGGTCCTCTGCCTTTAACGCCTCCTCCGGTAACAGTCCTTCGACACATGTCGAGCACACAGTCTTTCCGCCGGGCTGTGGAAAAGCTGCCGCCAGTCCGTGACACATGTTCCTGCGCGCTCCGCAGCACCGTAGTCCTGGCTCTGGCACCTATGGCTTAAGTTTCTCAAAGTCCGCAGGAGGCCCAGGTAGCCCAAAGCGTTCAAATAACGTTAGCCTGTGGTCCATGAGGGTTGGTTAATAACCACACGTGCCGGTCCCAATGGCTTCTTCTGTTTGCGGTGCGGGGGCAACTTTCAACGGGGTTTCAGCGGGTGCGTTTGGTGTTTCACGCTGCCGCCTCCGTGGGGCAACAGTCACGGGATTTGGAGCAGTTTGTCTCTGGCCTCCAAAGCAGTTGTCGGTGTCTCACATAATGTGTCCACGGAGTGAGTCGTGAGCTTCGGTTTCCTGAGCGTGTATCTGCTTCCGCCGCTTCTTCTTCTGCTCCCGGGTTTGGGCCCACTTCTCGCGGGGTATCAGCTGGTGCGAGAGACTCTGTGAGTCGCCGCCGTGGTTGGGGCGTGGGGCTGGTGCTGGGGCTTTGAGGCGGAGGGCAGGGCGCGGAGGAAAGCGCCGACAGACCTGGACAGGGAGAGGAAAAAGGGGACAACAGTAGTCTGCTCATTTTTTAAAAACCCAACGCCTTGTTTGGGTGCGCACTTCTTGTTAGTAGGGGAGTTTGGGGAATATTTCTCGGGGCTGATCGCCTTACGCGTTCGCCTGTGTGTTCTCCGCTTTGGTGAAAAGCGGAGGAGCTATTGTTTTTACATATTTCTTTCTCTAACGTCTTTTGCCGTGATATTCTTAAAACCAAGTAATATTTCCCTTCCTTCTTCTAATTTTCACGCAAGACGCGTAATCAATTGAAGGACATAAAAAAAAAAAATAAAAAAAAAACCTCCCTCCGGAAGATCCGAATGAGCAGCACATAATGTGCAACCGTTTTTCCATTGCCATTGTTACGGGACGTCTGAATCCCTTTCTAGTGTACTTCCCTCCATTTTCTCTTAAAGAACAAATGGATCTAGCCCGCTTAGTCTCTCCCTGCTCTTCCTCACTCTGGAGGGATCCGTTCCCCCCCCGTTAGTTCAATACACCTAACGGGCGCGCATTCTTGAAACGGACCGGGCCCGGCTGAAGGCACAAAGAGTTCAGGGTTGCTTACAGAGCAATACTAACACGCAGCCGCTAGCTTAAATCTCATACCCTACACAAATGGCAATGAACAAAATACCCCAAAATACGTAAATAAATCAAATACCCGTGTACACTTAAGCGCTGCCCTGGGCTTTACATGTTTGAAAAGACAAAACTCACCACAAATCAGGTTCTTTTTGGTCTTGTGTGGCCAAAGATTCTTTTCATGCGCCGGACGAGCGCGCCCTCCTTTCGTCTCCAAATAGAGCGGAGGCTGGTTTTGTTCCAGGTCGGCCGAACGCACCCGCTCGTCCCCGCCGAAAAAAACCCAGGCCAAGACATGCCAGCAACGCCAAACTGTCGAGGCAGTTTCAATCCATAGTAAGGAAAAAGCTGGAAAGGTATTTGTCTTAAATCAAAGATGTAAACACATTTATTTTACACATATATATGCGGAGAGCCGACATACAGTCTTGCATCGTGAGCTCTGCCGGGGCACAGCTACTGTACCAATACATATACTCAGGAGGCGCACAGCAGGGCCCCAAAACCGTGACGTCACATGGGCTGAGATTATCATGCAAACATCACCTTTTGTTTTAGCGCAAGACACAGGAAGGCCTTTGTCTTAGGTGTGAAAGGAGCAGACAGCAGAGGCCTTTGCAAACTCAGCATGGCGTCAGACGGCCGTCTCTGCATTGATTAAAGGCCCAGTCGTCCGTGTATTTGCTGCGACTGGTTCTAATTTAATTACTCTAAAAACTGTCATTACAGGTCTCAAGTCATCCCCATACATATTAGATACAATAGACATCTGGGAACGTGAAAATAGCGAAAATAGCAAAAAAAAAACGTATTAATACGTCAATGGCACACGACGTTACTATTTGCTTTGACGTATTTGTGCGTCAATGGGACACAATGAGTTAAAGGGTTTTATATACCTGTATATTTATATTATCTTTAAAGATAATTACAGTCTTTTCAATGCTGCTGCAGTCACAAACTCCTCCAGCCTGTTTTTCTGTAATTACACTAAGGGGGAGGTTATGGAATCTACATACTTTGTTTGTTAGTTTGTTTGCGCCATAACTCAAAAGGTTATGGGAGGAACTACAAAGTACAAAAACACTGCTAAGAGGTGAAGTTCTATTCCTAAAATATTCCAAGATCCAGATGGTTCCACTTCTATAATCTGATCAAATTCCAAGTTTAAAGATGTGATCAGTCTCATCTGTTATGAGTTACATGATGAATGAGTCTTGTTTAAACAACAAATTTGTATTGAATATATAATACAGTAAAAATTAGCGCAAAAGTGAAAACATACAATTGGTCGGATCTGACCAGAGTCCAGGGATGTTGTTTGTCCCAGTCCCCTCCTATCTATAATCGTCTGGATCCAGAAATGTTTTATGAATGGAGCTGTGCCTCTTGGCTGAGGTCTTCAATCTACAAGTGCCTTTCTAGATAGTAAATAATGCCAGACCACTAACATAGATGACTATAGCATGTGCACCTTTTTCTGTAGATACACCCTGATCGGCTCCGAGACAAGAGAGTGTCTTCCTGGTGGTCAGTGGAGTGACAGTTCTGCTCAATGTGTGCCCCGCTCCTGTGGCCCCCCGCCAGACATTGAGTATGCAGAGCCCTACGAGAGTCATCAGCTGTTCGGAGACACTGCTAACTACTACTGCACGGATGGATATACTGCTAGTAACAACTCCAAAATGATCTGCAATGCTCAAGGTGTGTGGGTGCCTCCAGATGGGATGGAGCCCCCACTTTGTACAGCCAACTTCTGCCTTCGACCTCCTGACCTACCACATGCAATTTTTGATTCAATCAGCAAGCCTAAGTATGCAAGCAGCATAGAAGTGAGCTACAAGTGTGAGGAGGGCTTTATGCTGAGTAACATTGGGACTTTGAGGTGCCTGATGGGCGGCCAGTGGGAGCCTTCACCTGATCATGTCAGCTGTGTACCAGTGAGGTGCTCCAGGCCAGAAAGCATTGATCGAGGCTATGTGATTGGGACAAATTACAGCTTTGGAGCCGTGGTTGCTTACAGCTGTGACAAAGGCTTTATGATCCGAGGAGAAAAGAAACGGACATGTAAAGCAGATGGAGAGTGGGAAGGGGTTTTGCCCGCATGTGTGGCAGTGTCCTGCTCCACCCCACCTTTATTAAAGAATGGATACATTCAGGTATGAATTTATAGAAATATATGTGAGGAATATTGTATTCATGTATTCACTCTGAGCCATGCTTGATATCTACATTAACAATGTATTCAATGTATTTTCAGGCCAGAGGGAGATTTACCTTCAACAGCAAAGTGACATATGCCTGCAATGCTGGCTATAAACTGGTCGGCCGTCCTGATCGGGTCTGCCAAGCTAACCACCAGTGGTCTAACAATGACCCTCCAGCATGTGTCCTCTTGACCTGCGACCATCCTCCTGATATTTTTCATGGTTATTTCAGAGGATCTGAGTTCCAAGTGGGGCGGAAAGTGGAATATGTTTGTGATGAGGGCTATGAGTTGATAGGGGATCCTATCTGGACCTGTCTGAAGTACGGCAGGTGGGACAAAAAGAATAAACCTGTCTGCTCACCCGTGCAGTGTCCAGAGCCCCCACTGGAGGAAAACCACCTGGTTTTGACGGGACTTGACACAGAGACAGGAACAGTGGAGTTGTCCTGTGAAGAGGGCTACAGCCTAGAAGGTGCTCACATTCTACGCTGCACCCCATCACAAGAGTGGAACGATTCATTCCCAGTCTGTAAAATGGTCTTTTGTAGCACTCCACCAACAGTGTCATTTGGTGGTCCTTCTTCTTCCTTGGGTCCCTTCCCTTTTGGCTCTGTCGTAAACTACTCGTGCATGGATGGTTTCACAGTGAAGAAAGAAATGTCTGTCAACTGTCAAGCCAGCGGGCAGTGGAGCCCACTCCCTGAGTGTGTTCCTGTAGAATGTCCACAGCCTGCAGAGATCTCCAATGGCATAGTGGATGTTCAGGGTTTAATGTACCTCAGTAAAGCTCTGTACACCTGTAAAACTGGATATCATTTAGTAGGAAACTCCACTGTGCTATGTGGGGATAAAGGACTCTGGATAGGTGGAATCCCTTCCTGCCGACCTGTTCAATGTCTAGTTCCTAAACAGATTGTGAATGGAAGATTAGTATTTTCAAAACTACAATTTGGTCACAGTGCCTCCTACTCCTGTCATCGTGGTTTCCAACTGCAAGGCCCAGAGACTCTGAGATGCTTAGCCTCTGGAGAATGGGATGCAGCACCTCCTAGTTGTGAGAAAATATCTTGTACTCCTCCTCAACCCATTGAAAATGGTTTTGTAGAAGGCAAGGAACACAGTTTTGGAGTGACCATTTTCTACAGCTGTTTCCCAGGGTTTCAGTTGGTTGGGCAAGATCACCTCACGTGTGAAGATGCGGGGTGGTCAAGTTCTGTTCCTGTCTGTGTGCCTTCCGACTGTGGTCTTCCTCCTCATATTGACTTTGGTGAATACGTGCGTGTGTCTGAACAGAGTGACACAGATATGTCTTCCCCAATGGACTTAAGCTTCCTGCATGGGACTCTAATAGAGTACGGTTGCCTGAAGGGTTATGACCTCACCAGCAGCACTAGGCTAGTATGTCAGGAGAATGGGAGCTGGAACGGTACTGCACCTTTATGTGTCCCAGCAGAGTGTCAGAGTCCTTTTAGTCCAGAACATGGCTGGGTCAATGTGACTGACACCTCTGTGGGCAGTATGGCCACATACTATTGTGTGAAGGGCTATGAGCTGAAGGGAGACTCTGTGAGACACTGCGTTTCTGGAGCTCTTTGGACGAGTGACGCACCAGAGTGTTTGCCTGTGTCCTGCAGAAACCCAGGGCCTTTAGAAAATGGCACTGTGCATGGAGAAGGCTTTGAGTACCCAAAGTCTCTGCGTTATGAGTGTCATCCCGGTTTTCTGCTCAAAGGTTCCGCCACTATGAACTGTCAGGCTGATCAAAAGTGGGACCAGCCAAAGCCCCAATGTGAACCAGTATCTTGTGGTCCTCCCAAGATTCCTGAAGATGTATATTGTCGTGGAGATGACTTCACATATAGTCATAAAGTAGAGCTGAGCTGTTTGTCCGGTTTCATATTAAAAGGTGAATCTGTGAGTGTCTGCCAGGCTGATGGCACCTGGAGTCATGGGGTCCTCAGATGTGTGCCTGCTCAATGCGAGCCCCCAGCCGCTGTAGCCCATGGCCATATGCTAGGTTCTGACTTCACCCTCAAGAGTAAAGTTCAGTATGAATGTGATGAGGGATACACACTAAAGGGAGCAGATACACGTCTGTGTCAGTCAAATGGACTTTGGGACAAACCGGTTCCTGTTTGTGAAATTGTCAGTTGTGACCCTCCTCAAGACATCAGCCATGGCTTTGTGAATGGCTCCAGTTTCAACTATGATGATGTTGTGGAGTACGTCTGTTTTGAAGGGTATGAAGTGGTTGGCAATCCTACCTTACGCTGTTCTGTGCATGGTGTGTGGTTGGGCAGCGTTCCCCAGTGTCAGCCATGTCTCTGCCCTCCTCCTGTTCTAAAATACGGAGTGGTTCTGGGACGTGATCATGCCTGTGGAGGTAGTGTGCACTATCAGTGTGATGAAGGCTATAAGCTGCTGGGTCCCTCTCAGGCCTTGTGTGAGAAAGGAGGTGTGTGGAGCCCAGGGATTCCTGTGTGTAGCCGTGGCAGGTGTAGTGTTGCCCCGCCAACAGTTCTTAATGCCCTCCTTCAGGGGAGAAGTGGCTCCTATCCAGATACTGTCATGTACAAGTGTCGCCCTGGTTACCAGATGAAGGGCAGCATACAGGTCTCGTGTGGGAGAGATGGCCGATGGGGTGAGCCCAGAATGAGCTGTGAGCCAATAAACTGTGGAAAACCTCCTCATGTGGCACATGCATATATTACTGGAGACAATTACACATTTTTAAGCCAAGTCACCTACAGGTTTGTAATTCTATATGCTTAATATTATGTTGTCTCTTTGCATTGTTTGATTACTCTATCATTATCTACAGGTGTGAACAGGGATATGAGCCAGAGACACAAACGACCTCTATCACCTGCACAAGTGATGGGACATGGTCGAAACGCAGCATCTGGTGTCGCCCTTCTCCTTGCCCTCTCCCTACCAATATTCCTGTTCCCAATTTAATCATTACTGGGAAAAAATTCACTCCTGTAGGAGCCACCACTTCTTTGACCTGCTCCACTGGGTTCTACCTGCAAGGATCCCCACAAACTGAGTGTCAGGTTGGAAAGTTAAACCTACTAGTGGATAGTTGCTCCATTTCTATTGTTGTATATATAATATTATTATTATATATAGATATTTCATGATCTTTTTATGTTGTGTCTAGCTGGGTGGAAACTGGTCTCCAAGCATAAATTCTGTTTCATGTGAACCTGTGGTGTGTCCCAAACCACCTCCAATTCTCCATGGCATCACTGAGGGGGTCAGCTTCAACTATGGAGACAAAGTCTTTTACACTTGTTTTCCTGGATTCCACATGAAGGTAACTCTTTATAACATATTCCTTTCTGATATACATTTTAGTTTAAGTGTTAAACTACAGTTACTCCACTGAATGGGAGAATACAACAAAGTCTGTCTGTCTGAAATAAAAGGAAACACAGTGTCTGCATTACTACTGCTATTCCCCTTTAAACGTTCTTTCTCAGATGAAAGTGGCAGTTGATTTATCAAAGGTTTTCCAGTCCTTTTATTATTATTAAAACTATTTAAAGTCAATGGATGAAACATGATCAAATCCATAAGAAATTAAGCTTCAAGATCACTGTGGATTACGGCTCTTGGGTGGTGAGCCTCCCCAAGCATAGACGAATGTTCAAATGTGTAGCATCTATTGCAGGCCAATCTTCTGCTGTCTTTGTCCATCTTAAAACTAATAATCAGTAGAAGAACTGGTTTGACCATATTCTGAGCCTTCCCCTACATAAGAGATTATTATGGAAACCAGGTGAGTCAGAACGAGGTGTGAGGCAGAACCGAGACCGCCCTTCTCTTTACCATTTATCTGTTTTTCTAGAACTATGGATCTACAACTAGACCAAAGCTAGAATAAAATAATGTTACTAAAATAAAAAAATGTATTGTCAAATTTAACACTGCATGCATACTTATTGTCAGTTGCTGTTTCTAACCTAAAAATGAATTACTAGTTCCAAGAAAAGCTGCACAAAATGTAATGGAAACACCAATACCCCTTATGACAACAGTAAAACTAAAGCAGTAAATGGGAGGGAGGGGAGGGGGCTCAGATTACAGATCACATGATTTCTCCTTTGGGTCAATAAGAGGTGTGGTTTCACAAAGCGCTGAGTCATTGTGAAACCTGCTCTGATGAGTCACAGTGATCTGATGAAGAATTCTTCAGGCTTGAAGGCTAAGCAATTACAGTGGTATTATCATTAACAGATAGGTTTATTTAGTAACCTATCCAATAATGTATCTGAAATATATATCCCTGATAGCAATTGTCTTTAACAGGGAAATTCTAGCCAGACCTGCAGAGAAGACCGAACATGGAGTGGCACCCAGCCTGTGTGTGTTGGTATGTGTCCCTTATACAGTATTACAGTATGTGACAATTACAGTTGTTTAAAATACAAAGTGCCACACACTTTGTATTTTAAACAACTATGAAAGGAATTAACCCATGGAGCGACTAACAGACCAAGTATGTATGCTATGCTTTTGTGTATCCTCCAGCTCAAAACTGTGGCCCTCCTCCCATTGTGACAAATGCAACTGTGCACACAACAGGGGACACTTACCTACACAATGTTAGCTACCAGTGCAATGCTGGATTGTATCTTACCGGCTCCAAAACTCTCACTTGCCTCGCTAATGGCACTTGGAGCCTTCCTGTTCCTTCATGTGAAGGTATTCATTTTAGGTACAGACATCAGTGCAATATTAACATGACTAATCTAAATTATTTGTTTGTATTGTTTCAGTCATTAAGGGCTGCTACAGTCCCAGATTGTTTCCTCACGGCAAAGTGCAAGAGCACAGTTTGAACACAGGGCGCGCAGTGGAGTTTCAGTGTGACAAAGGCTACCTTCTGATCGGGGAAAGCCTGGTCGTGTGCATGGGAGGCAACACATGGAGTTCAAACTTTCCCACCTGTCAACGTGAGCCTTTTCTGGTGTTCCACGTCACATAAAACACATTTTCAGCATGAGGAAACCTGTTAAACAGTTACATCATAAAAGCACTGTCTTGCACACTTTGACCAGTGGGATTCATCTTTATAACCCTTTATTTATTACAGCAAAGCTCTGTCAGGCTCCTCCAGGCTGGAGAGAGCCCGCCTCAAACAACGGCTCCAAGCAGGAGTTCCATGTGGGGCAGCCAGTGCAGGTGACATGTCCTAAAGGTCAACAGGTCAAAGGCAGCGGCACCATCACATGTCGATCTGACCTGAGCTGGAGTCCCCTCAGCTCTGTGTGTGAAAGTGAGTATCGAGTTCTGTTTGAGTGACATAGGTTTATTGACACACGGGATGTACGAGGGATTTCATGTTTGTATTTGTGTAGCCTGCATGAAGCTGATGGTTAGTGCAGCTTCTGGCCAGTCTGCCTGCACGCTCAAGAGCTTTCAGTCCTGCTCTTTTGTCTTTGTATCCTAACAAACCAGGTGCCTTCAAACATAGTGTCATGTGTTTGGACCTAATTATGGATACCACTTGAGCTGCTATGGCAACCTTTGTCATACAATCCTCTGATGTTTCCTTCACCAATTTCTTCTGATTATTCAAGCTCATCATGTGTAACCTGTACGTTGCTACGACTCATTATAACACCTTTGTTTCATGTCATACCCAAACATTTTATTTTAGGAGAATTCTTCAATCAATCAAGTTTGTTAATGAAACACAATTTATGCAGTGCAACACAAAGTGCTTTACAAAGAATGCTTTACAAATCATACACATTTACAAGCTGTATAAAACATATAAGGCAAAACAAAAGTAAAAAAATATAATATATATATATATATATATATATATATATGGCTCACTCCATACTAAACTGTATCAATGTGTCACATTTTGGTCAATGACCCAAAAAAGTCCTGAAATGTCCGCGGCCGCTACTGCTGAATGTTCACAGTACTCTTATTTGTTTCCAGCAGGTTTGTCCAGTGAAGGGCACTCTACTTAAACACTGATTTGTTCACATTCGTACTATTAACGCTCCAAACGAATGTTACGTCCACAATGCCCATTTTGTCTGCAGTTATTGAATCATATTTCTATGCATAATGTAAAATCTATAATTACAGATTGATTATAGTTATATCCCCAACCATTAACCATTAGTCTTCTCAGTCCTGTTAATTCTTCTTCTTCACAAAACCTCCATCATCACATGTCCTAAATGTAACAATTATGTCCCCAAAGATCAATATTTTTTTTTGGAAAGGCATACATTTTTCTTAAAATGGTTTTAGCTGCCCATCTGAGATTATATGACTTATATCTATAAGCTACAAAGTATTGTTGTGGAGTAGTGTTTAGGTACAAACATTTTTGATTGACCCATGGTACATTTTAGCGTGGAGTGAGCCATATTCTGAATTTAATAAAACTCAGAAATTGTCACTGAGAATACCTCTGTCGGACGTCCTGTATCTCCTGTTAAAGTATCAACAGAACATTTTGAAAACACAAAAGTGATCAAGCGCGCTCTGTGGGCTGTTGTGCAGGGGTGTCCTGTGGCCCCCCTCTCCATGTGGCCAATGGGGTAGTGCGGGGGGCAGTGTTCCAGTTCGGGGATGTGGCAGTGTATTCGTGCTTTGGGGGCTACATCATGGAGGGCATAGGACGGAGCAGGTGTCTGGAGAACGGCTCCTGGACGCCCCCTCCCACATGCAGAGGTAGAGAGTATCCCCCTCTGTGCACCTCACTTCATGGACTGTTCCTCCGCCACCACTGGTCTTTCCTCACACCTCTGATCCTCTGCTTCGGTCTGCTTGACTCCTTAAAGCTGACAAACTAACCAATTTGCCTCATCTTCATATTGAATTTAATGTTTGTGTACATATTTCTCAACAATACCTACTCAATGATGTTGTTTATCTTGGCTTCTGATGTACTTTACCTTTTTAAAGATAGTGTGATCTGTGCCTAATCTAGATACACATTCCGTTTAACTATTGCCTCAATGGCCCTTCTCCTTATGTTGTTATTCTCCCTTATTCTAAAAAACTGCTCTTTGCCTCTACATGGCAATGTTGTCAGTTGTGTTGGGGAAAAAAATGAATGTTGTCTGCTCCTCAGCGGTGTGTTGGTTGCAGTGCCAAAATGGAGGGTTCTGTCAGCGACCAAACACCTGCTATTGTCCAGAGGGATGGATGGGACGACTTTGTGAGGAGCGTAAGTGTTTTTAAAAAGCAGAGATTTCCGGCTGCACAGTAAAGTAAGGCCATAAACCGATTGTTGAAATGTTGTAAAGATGTAAAAGTGGGGTACCTCTTTTCCATAAATAACAAATACAGGTGAAGGTGCCCTGTATTCTCCGTAAGGCAATTTGTGCATTTAATCCATCGGACAACAAGGAACTGTCTGTAGTAGTGTCTGCCTGTTTTATCAGACCACAAACTACTGTTCATATAATAGGAAACATGTTATCTTTGTCACAGTTGTAATGGCCTGGAGACTGTACAAAACACAACACAGAGTAGTAAGAAAAACCCCAGTCACTGGTTGAATCTTTGAGCTGAGAGGTGATCACTTTTGTCTGGAGAAACTCATCTAAATTACACATGCATGTCAAAAGTAGTAATAGTAACTGCTTTGAGAGTTGAGACCTAATCAAAATACCCCATGTTTAAACAAAGGCATATTCAAAAAGTATATCTATTAAAGTTAATTCAATATGAAGCTGGCATTTATTTTCAGCTTATTTTTGTATCCCTTATTCCTGGGCCTTTTGAGATCTCAGCTAACTCCCCACTAATCAAATCCAAAATAATTGTTAATTAGAGAACTATTAAGTCACATACTATACACAGCTTTTCTTCTAACTTTGTTCTTATCCCATAGCCATTTGCATCCTGCCCTGCTTGAATGGAGGCCGCTGTGTTGCTCCATACCAGTGTGAGTGTTCTGTGGGATGGACTGGCTCACGGTGTCACACTGGTAAGAACAAACAATCATCACTCCATGATATTGCTACTATTTATCACCAACACATCGTTCGACAACATTCACTTTGAGGCTGTGACGTGGTTTCTGTTTCTTCGCAGCGTTGTGTTCATCCCCATGTTTGAACGGAGGCAGGTGCATCAGACCCAACAGGTGCCACTGCAGCCCGGGATGGAGTGGACACGATTGCTCCAGGTAATTAGAGACTAAAGCAGGACGATCATGGAGGAAATGCATACAACATGTTTATGCTGAGAGTGGTTCTTTGTAAACGGGAGAAGCTTTTGCAGCTCATGACCATTTCTGAATCATTTCTAAAATCTTTGTTTTTTTTATATGCAAAGTATTTTACAAAATTGTAAATGAGGTAATACATGCTTGAATCGAATGGTTTTTATCTTTGCGTACATTCGGACTTTCTTAAAACAAGATTTGCCTGTTCCTTTATTTTCAAAACCCAAGGGAGACTTACGTTTTGCCAAATTTGAGCAATTTTAGTTATTTTAGCAATATTCACTTTTGCAGGGTACATCCAGTCTTTCACTCCAATATTGAATGTGTGTGAGAATTTGGGATCAAAGTCGGATTAAAATTAGTTACGTTTCATTTCATGTGCCATTTTATTTTGCAGAAAAAGAAAAACTGGATACCATCACTTCTAAAGAATCCACTATGCTCCACGTGAAGATTTATGTAAAGTACGTTCTCACCTCACTGCAAAAGTAAAGCAAGTTGTAAAATAAAGCTGTATTTTTTCATAGAAACGGTATTAACATATGCTGCTATTTACTGTACATGTATATTGTGTAAAAATATTATGTGCAACAGTTCATTGTACATGTGTAAACTACTTTCACATTTTTATTAAAGCATAAAATACACTTTATGGCCTTTTAAATGTCTGGTGCAATTGAAAGTTAAACTGGGTAGAAAAAGGCCACTTGCTTGGTCTGGGTTAAACAGGTCAAGTTTGTTTGCATTACTGTGGTGAAGTTGGAACGCTAGGGCACAGCAGTAATGTGGTTTTAATTTCAATATTTAGTTCCACTTACCAAGACTTAACTGCTCCTAAGTCTGGTCTAATCATATGGGGATGTATAAAAAGGAGTCAATGCCCAATGTAACATTTGAACAAATCATTTGTTATTGAGGACTTAAAGAAATTATGCACAGTATAATAATTTATTTACCAAAACTACAATCATGACAAGAGACATTATAACCTTAGCTTCATTTACACAAGTCAACACATGCTGCTCACTAAACTGTCAACGTGACATGGGAAAATGGAAGTTCAAGTGTTAAGCCATGAAGCATTACAACATTTCACTTGTGTTGTGCCACCTTTGCCTTTAGAGCATCTCCATTAGCCCCAGAAAACTCATCCACCTGAAGAAGAAAAAGTATAAGAATTATAATGTAGGTTGCAGTTGTCCAGAGTAGGTCTAAAATGTATGTTTTTTACCTTCTGTTCATTTTTGTAGAAAAAGAAGGTTGGCATACACTTAATTTCACAATATTCACTCACATCCTGGAATTAAAATGAAAGAAAGTCACACAAAGCATGATCTAAATGTAAAAGGTTTTGAAGCTTACCGGTGCTTCATCAACATCCACCTTCAAAAATATAACAGCATCTTTGTTGTCGTCTGCCATTTTCTGGAGAAATACAAGACATGAAACATGAACTCAGAACGTAAGAAAATCTCAGTAAGGAGCTTAAAATTACCTGGAAAATGGGGGCCATGGCTTTGCAGGGGCCACACCAGTGTGCTGTAAAGTCCACCACCACCAACTTGCTCCCAGCTGCAGCCAGCTCCGCTTTAAACTCCTCCTACAGCAAGTGACCACAATTAGCAAGCCATGCTGAAGCACACAGGCATTGTAGGCAACACAATGGGCGTGTATTCAGAGATTACCACAAACTAACCAACATTGGTTAAGTTCCCGCTTTCCTGCGAGGCCAGTGTTAGAATGACCAGAGCCAGGTCCATGGAGCACGGCTCGGCCTGTGTAGCCACATGCTAACGGGTACGGCTGAGACCACGGACCGGCAGAATACAGCGTAATAATGTGTTAAAACAATGTGGCCACACTTGAAAAGTAAAATTGGTAACAAAGGCTCTCAGGCTTCTGGTGCAAAGTCCATGCGTGGCCAGAGAGCAATTTCACTCACTTTTCAGTCAAAACAATGTCAATAGTCATTGCCAGCTGACCCGACCTGTAAGCATTTGCAAACAGTAAATATCTAAAGGAGGAAATGAACGCTTAGCGTCCATAAACTGAACCAGTCCTTCATCCCACCACACGAGGTGAGCGCTCCGATGCAGGCGGCACTTCTCAATTCAGACAACAACAAAAACACTCAATTGCGCCAACATCAGAGTAAACAAACGTGGACGATTCACTTACCAAACTTGTGATCTCTTTGACCATTTTGACAGCGGATCTGAGAGGGGCGAGCAGATGTGTACAGGGTCTGGAGATGAGGACTGACCACAGACCACTCTACAAATGTAGGTTATATACTGGTCTTGGCGTGACGTCTTCTTTTCCGGTGTGTGTCAAAATTAAAGCGCCAACTGTATTATAAATATTAAATCATTTTGCCTGATTTCAACAACGAAGAGAATACAAACAAACCCAGATGTTTATACAATGATAGATACATTGATTGTGGAATGTGGATAGAAGAAAAGCAGGTTGTCTTTGAGTACAATTTACAACAAAATGTATAAAATATAAATAAATATACAATTATCTTTGAATTTAGTGTGTGTTTCAACTGTGACTGACAGCAGCAGTGAACTGGGATTTACTGAGTGTGACGTCACCCATAGCACTTTTCCCCATGGTTTCTTTGGTTCTAATCTTCAACACGGGTGTCACTAATTTGGGGCCAAATGTATAAACGTGTTTAAAATGACCACAAATGCAAACATGAGTTTCAAATAAAAATGTTATATATTATGTTAGATATTTTGACAAAAGGATTACTTTAATTTAACCTGAGTTAAGATTATTTTCTGGTAGAAATTTCTGAACAAAATTAGATCAATTACTGTATGTCTGGACCATTGACTGTACATGTTGGAGTAATCTATAACTGGGTCAAAGTTAAAAGGATTGGCTAATGATTGATATTTTTTAAATTACAATTTATAATTATGTGTTGGTTTTAATTTAGAGTAAAATAAAATGGTTGTTTTGAGAATTCACTTATAATTGAAAATCATTTTAGGAGGCTCTAATGGGCTGGTGGGCCACATTTGGCCCCCGGACCTTTAACACCTGTGTTCTACAATATGACACAACCATTATTTCAACAGAAAGATATCCAGAGTGAGCATGTTTTTACTTTTATTTCCATTGAATCATTGAAGTGATTTACACCACCAAAGAATTACACTGCACAAATGCAGATTCCTTCATTTCATTCAGAACATTACTTGTTCGCAGCCACAGTTGACTTGAGTTTCCCAAGATCAGCACCTGTTATCTCTGCAACCTGAAAAAGATGTTTTAGTGATACTGAAACTGTAAAATATATGTTTTGAAAATGTAACATACCTTCACTTTATTTTTATAAAATTGGAATGTTGGCATGCAAGAAATTCCACAATGTTGACTCAGTTCCTGGGGGATAATGACAAGCATTTGCAAGGTGTGTCGATTTAATTTCAAATAAAAACATAGCGTTTTTCAACCAGTGTGCCGTGCCATGCCTTTGGAAATGATCCTAAATGACCTCATTGTTTTCTTTTCACGTTATTATGACAATGTGAGAAGATTAGAAAGACAAGAGTTAGATTTTTTTTTCAATAAGACTTTGATGAGCATGACTTTATACTGTTAAAATAGTTTATTTCTGTTTCAGTTTCAGCCGTTTGTCTCATGTGATGGTTTCAGCCACATGAGGCATGCCAGGGCTCAGACAGGTTGGGAAACATAAGCTATAGTCCTCCAGCATTTGTATATTTCATGATCTTACTGCAGCCTCATCGACATCCACCTTCACGAAAATGACATCAGGGATCTGGGCTGCCAATTTCTAGACAAAACACACGTTCATTTTGATGAGACAAGCCATTCATTTCCGCGTAATGGAATTCAGCTTAGTCATTATGGAGACCAAAACGAAAATGTTTGCCTCCAGCGTGCTTTCAAACTCGTATTATTGGATATGTTGGAGTACAATAAGATAAGTCTCTCTTACCTCAAACTCAGGAGCGATAGTTCTGCAAGGGCCACACCAAGTTGCAGTAAAATCTATTACAACCAGCTTGTTTCCAGCTTGTTCCAGCTCCGCATCAAACTCATCCTGTAAAAGAAAAGAGAGCAAAGGAACGGGGTTGAAAGAAAAAACAAGCAACTGTTGGGTCTCATTAATCTTGAAAAACTGACCTTTGATGTTAAGTACTTCATTATTCAGCCGGACCAGAACCAACGACAAACGAGCAACTACAAAAAGAGACAGAAACTTACGGAAGAAAGAACGCTCGCCGCGCCCCGTCCCGTCCAGCCTCCATGCGCCCACTCATGGCCTACTCACACAAGGCTGTGCCAAAATTTTTGAGTCTGGCCATAAAAAGAAGTACATTTTAATTTGTTGTTCTAGCCAAAGTAGTGTGGACCCCGAATAAACTATGGATCTTATTGCAGATCCTTGTGTTTTCTGTTGCATTACCATATGCCCCAAATGTCCAATGGTCACAAATCAAGTGTATGTTTGCAATCATAAGTTCATAGCCCTCAGCAATACAAGGAGCCTGCGCCATCTTGTGGCTGTTTAGAAAAATGCTGACACATTGAGCAAATTTGCTTTTTATTGCAGAGCATTATTAACCATAGTAATTGAGCACAGAGACAAAAGGCATTGTGATTATTCCATAATAGCGAGTAGAAGTCTGTCTTCAGGAGTTCAAAACAGTTGACCTGGTTTTTGAATAGTGTCGCATGCGAGTAATATTATAACATGATTTATTTATTTTTAAATGTAAGAAGCTACAACTTTTCCCAGCATAATAAATGAATAACCTCCACATGGAAAGTTTCCTCGCGGATCCACTGCTATAATATTTTATGCAAAAAATATACTATGAAAAGTATGACTTTTTAAAATAAAAAACTATCAATATAAAAGGCATAGTGCATAGCTGCAGCCCTATTATGAACCATAGTAATTGTGCACAAAGACAAAAGGTGTTTGTATGTCTGAAATATGGCAGGTTTATTTTTGAAGATTATGCTGCTCCTATCTACATTGCAACAATGGCTTTTCCTGTATTGTCGCCCTTCAACAAACCCATGAAAGCAGCTGGCATGTTTTCAAACCCTTTAATGATGTGTTCTTGACTTCGGAGTTTCCCCTGTGCAACAAACAAATGTCATTGCTGAACTACCCACACATGTTTATATAATAAATACAGTATATAAATGTATACCTCCTTTACCCATCCCAGCAGCCTCTTCAACGATTCTGGGTGCTTGTGGGCCCACCTGGATTGCATAAAGCCCTCCATTTTCAGTTGCTTAATGATCATTGTCAATTGAGGGTAGGGTCCTGTACAAATAGAAGTTAACTTACATTATAACTTATATTATTTAACCCTTCAGACACATTTACTGCTCATCAATTGAATAACACTAGTAAATTAACTTTTTTTACTTCCAGGTACCAATTTGTGGAGTGGTGTCATTGTAAGTGGAAATACTTCCACAAACAGCAATCCTTCCAAAGTCCTTCATCTGCTGTAAGGCAACACTTGAGAACTGGCCTCCAACCTTTATGTGAAATGTGTAAAACATAGTATATTCAATAAAGGGCATAGAAAAAGACAAATGTGACAAGGAAGAATTCAAGGCAGCACCTTACATTTTCAAAGAAGCAGTCGTATCCCTCCGGAGAAGCAGATCGAAGCGTCTCTGCCAATGAATCAACTTTTTTGTAGTTGAAAGCCTCGTCAAATCCCAGTTCTTTGAGAAAAGCCACTTTGGCGTCAGACCCGGTAGAACCCACCACTTTACAACCCATGATCTTAGCTATCTGTCCAACCACTGAGCCCACTGCACCTGCAGCGGCGTTAACCAGCAGAACCTCACCAGCCTTTAGTCCCAACACTTCCTCAATTCCATACAGAGCTGTGAGTCTGAAAGACAGGATACAATGCAGTGATGACGCAGTAACACACACATTATTGATGCCATGTCTTTAGATACCGACTGCAAGTCTTTACTTACCCCGGCATACCAATGGTACCCAAAGCCAGAGATAAGGACACATCATGGGGCCACTCCGTCATGATGGGAGTGAGGTCTGTGCCATCACTGAGCGAGTGCGTCCTCCAGCCACTACGCAGCACAGCATGGCTCCCCAATGGATAATTTGGGTTCTTGCTTTGAATCACTCTATACACCAGAATAAGCTTTGGTTATGGCTTATTCCAGAAAAAAACATGCACACAAGGCAATCAGGCATGTTGGCTGATTGGTTAGCACTATCAGTTTTCAGGTCCTGGGTTTGAATCCTTGCCGGTACAGGGCCTTTGAAGAGTATTTTTCATGTTCTCTTTGCGTCTGTGTAGGTTTTCGATGGGTGCTCTAGGATCCCCTACCGTCAAAAACATGTGCAATAGCCCCCATAACTAATTATTTAGCCATTTTTATAAGATAAAAAAGCAACAAGTATTGTCTCATAATTAACAGAAAAAACAGCAGTCGAGGCTAATTCTGTCTCAGTCTTAACCGTCTTAACAAGGGAAGCTATAATCTCATTTTTTTCTGAGGGTGCGTTAATACCTCAGATCCAAGTCCACTATGAACCAATTAGGGCGTATGCTTTGTTTGCGAGATGTGAAACTTCTAAAGTGACGTAAATCACTGGAAGAGTGTACACTATTTTGGTAGTTTCCCATTTCTACAGATTAAGCATATATGGGAAACAGGGTTTCTCATTACTGTGGTCATTCTTTATCTGTGTGCATGAACAAGGATTGTGTTTCTTACTTGGCCACTTGTGTTCCAATCATGACATCTCCTTCTTTCATACGAAACTGACTGAACGGCCTGAGAAAAGAAAGAAAACATTTTACAATTTATTGTACTTGTATACAATGCATTCAATCAAATGTTCTGTCTTAATCAGTAAAGTTTCTGATTGAAACTAGAAAAACAAAAACGCACACCAAGTTCTTCTCATGAGGTTTCTGATTAACACATTTAATGGTATAAAACCTACATTTGCAGTCTCTTTCTGATGTAATAAAACCTCAACCATACCTCATATATGGGTCCACACTGAGAAATACTGCTTCCAAAAGAATCTCTGAGAAAATAAACGTATTTGTAAACATAAATGCCATTTATGCCCATACTATAAAGTAGCACTTGCATTACCCCCATCTTTAGGTTCAGAAAGCTCTTCTACTTTCAGTTCAAAGTCAGTGTCTTTGGGAAAACCATCGAAGTGTTTTGTCAAGATCCAAGTTTTTGCCTGAACCATCGTTCTTATTTCTAAACAGGCTAAATGTAAATGAAGTGTTAGAGGTTAGGCTACATGTACAAATGCTGCATCCAAACAACCAAAACAAAACCAAAAGTCTTAATGCGAGCTAGTTAGATAATATCTTATTTGGATAACTGTGCAGCTGCACATCCACACAATGATTGTAAATGTGAACACTAGCGGTAGCTTCTACAGTGAGTTTTAGGAGAAGCTAAAAGTAACATTACGTACTTCAGAAGAGAAGAGGGATGACCATATAAGTGAGGACAATAAATGACGACAGCGCGTGTGCAGCAATAAGTGGGCGGGTTAAACAGCTCTCTTCTTCACCTGATTGGCTGCGCTCGCCGTCAGTCTGCTGTGCGGAAGTCTCTGTGGTCCGGAAGTGACGTAGACTCAGCTTGTGTGTTTGGCGGGCGCTGCTTCAACTGTAGAGAGAAGTTCTGCTGTAAGTTTTCTTCCACACAACTGTACTTAAACTAACACTCTATCACTGACTTACATACATGTTCATTTACTTAATCTGGTGTTTCTAATGCCACAGGCCAGAGCTAAGCTAGTTTACTGATACAACCTAACTTATCTCAATAATGTTAACGTTCTATGCTATTTTCCCCACGTTAGTTGCAAAACTAACATTCTGTTAGCTAGATCTGTTAGCTTAATCAAATTCCTCTGTGTCTTCTTTTTTATTATTGTCATTTCATGTGTATATGTGGGCCTCACGACTTTGGCAAACTACCTAAATAGCAAATATCATTGCTATTTTTTGATAAGCTATTACGGTCAGAATCTCGATGGTATGTTGTAATGAACAAGTGCGTCGATCAAATCTAATCCAATACATAATCTTTCAGTACAAGACATTTTTTGCTATTGGAAGACGTAATCTCACTTATGGATCATTATTAGACTGAATGTCTCTTCATGGGTGTATTATATTATTATACATTCTCTATAGTTGGTTGAGGGACGAGGCTTGAGTTCGCCTGCCTCATACTAAACCAACTAAAATCAAATTTGCAATAATTAATTGGATCAGATTCAGTGCAAATCATTAAAGTGCTCTGTTCACACTGATAATAGCTTGTGGATAAAACCTGTTAGCGTAACGAGATGTCCTGCATCTCAGAGAGCAATATTTTCTGCCAGAGGGAAGAAGCTGGAACATGGCTTTTCCAGGATGGCCAGAAGAGTCATTAACAATCCTAAGAGCTTTGTTTAAAAGTCTGGATTTATAAAGAAACTCCAGAACAGGAAGCTCACTGCCCACGGTCCTCTTTGCAGAGCGGAGCACCTTGTTTAAAGATCTCTTTTCTTTATCTGTGATGTTTCCAAACCACACAGACACAGAACCAACAAGTAAACTCTCAATGGTGTGGCGATAAAAGTTAAGCAGATTCTTAGAGTTAGTGGTAAATTCTCTAAGTTTACGCAGAAAGTAGAGACGCTGACGAGGATTCACGTTTGACTCACAGTGTGAGAACTCCGCTTGCAGCTCAAGTCTAGCTTTTAGCTGCTATACTTGGCATTTAATTTGAGACTAGATATACAATATCAATGAAGAATTTAATTGTGATCTGTAAATCAAACTCTGGTTTTGATACAATTGCGAATTTGCGGATTTTTATGCAGCCTTGTTATTCTTAGTCTATTACATGTTTGATTTGTATCAGTAGTTAATGTTTGACTCTTTTAACCTTTTTATTTCTATTCATTTTTGTGTTACTTTATGACTACGCATAACAGTGACAGTAAATTGCAGGGCGAAGCACTACAATGTTAAATGGTGGGCAGTTTGTGGAGGCCGTGGGCCGCCTGGGGTATCCTGATGCTTCATCACTCAAGGCCTCTGAGTTTGACTGGCTCTTTGACTGTGCACCTGAGAACCTCCATTTTCTGCGCTTTGTTTGTCGAACCCTCAACTCAAGCAACATTCTCACCTTGGAGGAGGCTAGTGCCTTCCAGGAGCTGCAAAAGTCTGGCAAACCTATTTTGGATGAGGCAGCTTTAGAAGAAGTACTCAAAACAATCGGGCTTTCAGATGGAAGCACCATGAACTCAACTTCATGCTCAGTATTTGCAACAGATGGAGAAATTACCTCAGAGGCTTTGGAGGCAGAGCTCAAAGCTCTACAAAAAGAGAAGGATTTGAAGCAAAAACGCTACAACAAGTTACAGCTCACCGCAACTTCACGGGCAGATGTGGACCTGCGGCTCACAGCAGAAATGGAAAAGACGGCTAATGCATTAAAAGAAACTAATGCCTTGATTGGTGCTGAGAATGCGCTCACCAACACAGTTTTACAAAATCTGACAGACGAAATGAAACGCTTAAGTTCATTAGTTGTTGATGCACATGACAAAAATGGACGTAGTGAACCTTTTGCATCCAGTGTCTCCTTGCGACCCTCTGTCCTCCTGTCCCTTTTGTCATTGGATCCATATCTGCAACAGGAAGAACTCAATACAAAAACACTAGCAGCCTTCACCCAGAAGCATTTTTTCAAAGGCATCAGTGATATTGTTGAGTCCTCCTACTCGGGGCGCCTTCAACTCCTGGACCTTAGCTCTTGTGAGGACGAGGAAACAAGTGTGTACAGTTTAGTCAAAGACTCTGAGGGACAGGAAGTGGAACGCAGAAGGACCGAGATGGCCAGACTCCAGTGGGCTCATATAGTTGCCCATTACCAGCTAATTCAAGCCCTAGCTGAGGAAAAGAGTCTTACAGCTGCGCTGGACTGGGTCTCTGAGAAGTCCTCTCATGTCAAGGTAGACACTTTTTTTTTTCAGATTAAGTTTTTTCTGTAAAATTTGTCTTACTTAATTTGCTGTATTTAAGAGAATTTCACTGTCGTCCTCGCTCCATATGCGTGAAGTTGTCCTGAAAAAAGAACTTCAGGCTGTGGAAACCGAACTGGAAGCACTTCTCCAAGGTCCAGTTCCTGCGGCCCTGAGGGAGTCCGCCCGACAGGTTAATGTCCCAATTGTGAGAGGAGACCTGGCTCTGCAGTTAGCCAGACAAGACTACTACACACAAAGACAGAACCAGGCAAGTTTACACAACAGGCTCTGAATCTAGTTTTACTCTTTAACAAAGTTAATAACTTCTAACAGTGTCATGTGTTTAAAATAAAAAGACAGTGTTGCCTAAATATAGAAAACAGACTAATATACTAGTATCTAGTTTCCAGGCACAATATGGAATAAAACATTTAATGCAGAATGGTCCGGTTTTAAAATCTCCATCTCCCTGACATAATGTGATTTTTCAATTCATCTTTTCTTTGTGTAATTTTCTATTAATGACTTCTAGGTGCGTGACTACCTCCTCCGCCAAAAGGCATCGTTTGATTTACTGCACTTGGCTCAGGAGATGGAATTGAGAAGATGGACAACTTGCTTCAAGGAGCTGGAAGAAGTTTGCGTTAAACTGACAAAGCACAGTGAAGCGGTGTCGCACAGAATCGATGCACTGGCTCACCCTGACCTCATCATCAACCCCAGACCAAATCCTATCATCAATAGCAAAGATGTGGCATTTAGCAGGTAGAGGATTATAGAATATTTTAGAATATTTGAATTTAAGGCATATCATTGACTGTTTTAATAAAAAAAATCCCTTCAGGTTGCTTGAAATCCTCAACTGTGGCTCAAAATGTAGTCCTTCTGAGCCGTTTCAAACATATGAAGCCTTAAACCAGGCGGCCCGAGACCTGTCCGCAGACCTCCAAACAGCTGGAGAAGCTATGGCTGGAGCAGCTCGTGAGCAGAAGTACACTGGAGCCTGCCTCCACGGGCACTGTGAGGCGCTGCACAGGGCCATGTACACAGAGCTCCAGCAGGTGGTCTTACGCCCTCAGGTACCTCCACTGGCCTCAGAACAACCACAGCTCTGTCCAAACGCACAGGTGGGTGTTTTCTCTCATGCTCTTTGGGGGCCCTTCAGTCGGTTTACAAACACCCGTCAATGTGAGTCATTTTTGTACTATATATAAGTGGTTACAGGGGTCAAAAGCACTTAATATTAATATTATTATTATTATGAAGAGTTGAGCACAAACTGGTGTACACGATGGTGTTGGCGCAGGCAATTCTGTTTTATCACTGACCATGGTTAATTCTTGCTTGGTGTTAACCCTTTAATGGTTTCTTCAACCATTTGGTAGATTACCTTTTGAGTCTCTGTCTACTTGAAGCCAGGAACTGAGTAGTAGTATGTGTATGTGTAAATGTTGAGGTTACACTAATTTTTGGTTGTCTAGAAATGAACAAGAGCAGCTGGTTCGTGTCTGTTGTGGAAAAAATATTAGGCAACCTGCTACAGTGCTATCAGACACTATTTAGTTGTGAATAAATAAAAATCTCTGACTTGTATTGAGTGCAGCTGTCATATTTCAACATTATACAGACTTTGCTGCTTAGGAGGGAAGGGGAACCCCAAGCGGCTGTGAAGGAGCAGAGCACCACGCTGCAGCACAGAGTGCATAATAAAACATTAACAGCTTGAAATGGTTTGTGGACCTGATAGAAAACAGGCCTTCTCATGTAATACATTAACATTGGGAAGCAAATGTTGAAATAAAGTACAGTAAAGTGGCTTCAGAAAACATGTATTGTAGTTTGTGTGTTCAGTAACAAGGTTTTAATGTTTAAGTGTAAAACAAATGCTGCAGCAGCGCACAGGTTGAACATGTGAAAGGAAAAACACAGTATCTGATTTGAATTTCTCTGTAAGAACAGTCTGAGCTGCAGATACTGTATTTTATCCTGCCGATGGAGAGGACTGGGCAGTGGGTTAATTGGGACAAAGTGACAAGAGGGCACCCAGGTTTCTTTTCTATATTAGTGGATTCTCTAATCATGGTTTTTGTTGCTCTTCTTTTTTCAGGAACTGAGCATGAAGCTCATGGACGCTGAATCCCAATTGCAGCGTCTCCAGCAAGTGATGCAGGAAATAATGAGTGAGGTCAAATCCAAACGTTTACAGCTGGATCGCAACAAGCTTGTAAAGCGGGAGAGGGACTTGTACATCTTCTTTCATTTAGATCCCCGACTCCTTCAGAAAGTAGTCGAAGACGTGGAGTCCTAGAAAGGACTACACTTTAAACTTGTTTTGACCTGATCAATTATGTGTAACTATTAAAATAAGTTTTATGTTTTGTCTTCTCTAATTGTCAAGGAAATAAATGGTTGTTGCTTTTTCATGATGTTCGAATGATTTTGTGTCAGACATTGAATAAATTGATAGATCCCTGTTGTCTTGATATTTTGACAGAATAAAGCCCCAAAACAAGGACAGTCCTCATGTGGCACGTAAAGAAGAAGGCTGACTGTAGGTTGTATTCAGGGTCTTTGTCTTCTGAAGCTCAAAAGATCCTCACGGCTCTTCGAGCTCAAAGGAAACATGTGTCAAGGGTCAATACCAGACACTACCAACACGACCGTCTATGTGAGTCAGGGTACAGAACAGGGTTAATGGGACTAAGAACTCAAAAAAAGATAGACTCCATGTGTGTATTCGTATGCTAGTCTGGAAAGAAAAATGGAAATGTTTTAACTGTGAACTCTCAAATTAGACAAGCTATTATGCTATTGCTCTATTGATGTCAGTATGATAAACTAATGTTTTTAGGTGTTTAAAATCTTGTCTTTAATTTATATCAGTGGGAAATGGGCAATATGAAGGCCAGTGGGAGCCCTTTTGTCAAAGCACCCCAAGTCAGCAAGAAGGGAATTCCCAGTAAGTAAATGCAAAAAGCAATCTTTATAATAAAATGATCATGATTCATCTAAATGGGTGAAATTATCCATGTATTTTTGTCATGTGTTGATATAGGCCCTCAGTGACCCCACCCTACACTCAATCCTCTCAAGCACAACATTGGAACCTGTCCTCGCAAGTCTCTTCATATTCTTCCAGCTGGGATGCCTTGTGCTACAACCAAACAAATCAAAGAGAATCCCATGATCTTTTCTCACACAGAGGGGAAAATATCTCTTTTCAGTCCAGCCATTATCTGTCATTCCCCCATTGTGATGAGTTGGAGACAGACAAAAGTTTCCCACAAACTGACCCATACACTCGTCCTCTGAAATCCTCTCAAAGCATTTCTGGGAAGGTCGTTGCTTGGAAAAGGTATGTATACAATTTGGATTCACGCTTGTCATGTTTACAACCATAAGCAAAGATCTTATTTTGAATTTTCCTTCTGAAAGTTCACACAAGTAAAGCATACATGAGGGCATAGGAGCTGTGTTTTCAGTGAGTGTGTTGGTTACTAAACAGGATCATGAATTCCAAGGAGCCCGAGAGGTTAGCGGTGAAGTTGTGGTGAAGATTAAAAGTTGGTTAATTTATCAAAAGCTATGAACATCTCACAGCATAGTTCAATCTATTATTCAAAAATATAAAGTATATGGCACAACTGAAAATCTACCAAGACTCGGCTGTCCAAATCAAATCTCATAGTTGTAAACATGACAAAATGTAAAAAAGTTCAAGGGGTATTAGTATTTTTGAGAAGCACTGTTTACGTTTAATCAATGCATATGTACTGCAGTCAGTATAACAGATACAACCTTATCTCTTTCAGCGCTGAAGAAATACCAAAGTCTCTACCAGAAGGTCCTAATGAAATGCCTTTTTTAAAAGAGACCAAAAACTGGCCTGATGACCCGTGGGGTAATGAAATGAACAATTCAGTGATTGACAAGCCTAACGGAACACCAAGTATCTCACAAAGAGATTCATCGGGGAGGGATGGAACAACTAAAAGAATTCGATTAAATCTGGCTCTTGAATATGAGTCAAAGTCTGGATTGTGTTTAGCTATTAATAAAATGAGCTCAAAGGGGCTTGAATTCTCAGAAGTTTCTCAAGTTGGGGAGGATGAACAAGTCTTCTCAACTGACAAAAAGATAGAAAAGAAACAAACGGTTTTGACCGGAGACAGGATGCCGCTGCTGTTACCTGAATGCTATGATGCCATTAAATCATCAGACACCTGCGCCAAAAATAGTTCAAGAAATATACTACTCAGCATTGATACAGATGGAGACACCACAGGGCAGGCCTTACACACTATGAATGTCGAAGAAGAGAAGGAAGCAGACGGGGCCGTACCACATTCAGATGAATCTAAAGCCAGACAGTGCAAATCTATAAAAAATCCAGATATTTCCCCAAAAGACAAGAAACAGAAGATGTCTTTTATAAACAAGACAAAATCTGTTACTACTCAGATGGCCCACTCAGACCCTCTCTGTGGTATTGGAGGAGGTAATTGCACCTGGACCCACTCACATTATTGAGATCAAGTTTGAAACCTAATAACACCACTGCCAGTGTTTGAAATTGTACTTATTTTACGTCACTATTTGTCAGCATTCACCACCAGAGGTTGCTATTCGACATCTTTCCAAGATGCAACCTCTCACTAAACCTTGATTAAACTGAGCTGTTATGACGAGGCATATTTGGTCATTTGACATTACACCAGAGGAATTACCATGTATAATTATTTTACCATCATTTTGTCCCATCATATTCGCTCGCAATAAGACAAAACAAACATTCTGTGTTGTGCCTCACACCAGTGACAAGGCCTGTTGAGACAAGCCACATTCAACTAATGTTTAAGGCTGATTTTACACAAGAACTCAGGAATTTCTCCTGTTTTGTAATATTATCATTTACAGAAACTTCAAACTCTGCTGCCCCTGTCAACTCCCCTGGCTGTAAAGGCACACTTCCTACTTTTATAAAGGAATCTGCTCCAGAGGGGAATCTGTTCAACCTTGAAGTATGTCTGCACCACAAACTGTTCATGGCCTGCACATTACATTTATTTATCTTTTTGAGTGGCTGCATAGACTATGCAGCCACTATATGCTCTCCTACTGTTTATTCTTCTTCTTCTTCTTCCACTTCCGCCAGATTTTGTCACTTTTCAACTCTTCAACGCTTTCACCAAATTCAACAAATTATACATCGTTACGACCGGCTTCACCGTCTCATTATTGCTATTACTTTTCCACACTTCCACCTTTAAAACTTTTTCAGATATTAACAAAAGTTCAAGCACTTTTTCCCATTGACTTACATTGGACCAGTACAACAGATTACTCCCCTTACAACACATTACCACACTAACAATTCATTACCACAGATACAATACATTACAACATCTTACAACACTTCAGCACCTTACAACACATTTAGCACTTTACAACAAATTCAACACCTTACAACACATTTAGCACTTTACAACACATTCAACACCTTACAACACATTTAGGACCTTACAACAAATTCAACACCTTACAACACATTCAGCACCTTACAACAAATTCAACACCTTACAACACATTTAGCACTTTACAACACATTCAACACCTTACAACACATTTAGCACCTTACAACAAATTCAACACCTTACAACACATTTAGCACTTTACAACACATTCAACACCTTACAACACATTCAGCACTTTACAACACATTCAGCACTTTACAACACATTTAACACTTTACAACACATTCAACACCTTACAACACATTTAGCACTTTACAACAAATTCAACACCTTACAACACATTTAGCACTTTACAACAAATGCAACACCTTACAACACATTCAGCACTTTACAACACATTCAGCCCCTTACAACACATTCTTAATTCATCTTCTTCACTTCTTCCCCTTCTTCCTCTTCTTCCCCTTCTCCCTCTTCTTCCTCTTCTTCCCCGTCTTCCCCCTCTTCCCCTTCTACCCCTTTTTTCCCTCTTCTTCCCCTTCTTCACCTTCTTCTTCTTCCCCTCTTCCTCCTTCTTCCCCTTCCTCCCTCCTCCTTCTACCTCCTCCTCTTCCTTCTTCTTCTTCTTTCCTCTTCTTCCCTTTTCTTTCTTCTTCTTCTTCCTACATCTTTCATTTCTTTCAACTTCTTCCTTCTTCCTTCTTCATCCCTAACCCTTCCAGCATCTATGCAGCCACTCACAATGGCTTCAGCCATTGTACCATTTCTAGTTATAATCTACAAACCACAAAATTATAATGCATTTACTCTTGAACTTCAACATGTATCTTAAGGTTTGTTTACTTTTAATATATTACAAATTTGAAGGGAGAATCAGCCATAGAATTATTCCGTTATCCACAGCACTGGGCTTTGGGCCATGGCCTGCCTTGATTTTCTATATCCTGTAGCACAGCACCCTGGGGGAATTTCATGACTGTCAGCAAGAAAACAGGTTGTGTTTAGACTTTAGAGTGAAATAAGGGAGATGCATCTCGGGAGGTCCTTGATGCAGTGTCAAGTGCTGACAGCCCCTTAAATCTACATACAGTAAATGCAGCCCCACCTACTGATCACTGACCTCATGGTATGTTGAGTTTAAGGTTAGAAATAAGGACATTTTCATATTTGTTCTGTTGAGCTCAAAGACTACAGCAAATAAAACCATAAATGAACATGTTTTAATGCACCTTTTAAATACACAAATTAAATAGTCAAATATTTTAACATTTGTTTTGTTTTTATTTAAATTCAGGTTTCTTGTGAAGTCCACTCGGATGCGATTCCTTGTTCCTCTTTTACGGCACAAAGTGAAGGCTTCGGTTTACTTCATTCTACATTAAAACAGCCTCATCCACAACCTTTAAAACATACTTTGAAGAGGAAGTATGAAGCCCCACACTCACTAACAGAAAATGACAATTCTTCAAAATCTAGTTCAACAAGATGCCCCCCAAAGTGGAAGCCACCATCATCTCAAGAGAATAAAAGAGACAATTTCAGAAAAAGTAATTCCAATCAAACTGACAAAGTTATTGAAGAAAAACGCACTGATGAAATTAAACATGGCTCCATTTCTGTTGATGGTATGCCACCCAAGTAGTCCAAATATTTAATTCAGCCTTTCAATAATTGTTCTGACATGTTTCAAACAGGTCCTAATCATAGAGAAGTTGGGAAATGCATGAGATCCAAACCAGGAAATTTCACATCAAGTTTGACATCTGACCCGAGAGTGACAGATGCATCCAAACTGAGCCAAGGGGATATGGACTCCATTGTAAAGAAGGCACAGCAGTCAGTGGCCCTGGTGCTTACAATGGTTTTCCGCGATGGGACCACACATCTGGATCCAGAGCAGGTTAGTTTGTTCATCTTCTGGCTGTCAGGTTCTCAAAAATTATTCATGCTACTTGATCAAATCCACATTTTATCATGTTCTGACCACAAACAAAGATAATGTATTTCCGTATATGTGAAAGATACAAAGAATTATACAAATCACAACAATTCCGTCTTTTAAAAGATGTTTCTGCCAGGTCTCGTCAACTGTTGACACTCTTCCCGTCCCGGCAGAATGATAGCAGATCCATAGTATTATGATGCCACCCTCATGTTTGACAGTGGACATGGTGTGATTGGAGTAATGAGCCATGTTAGTTTACCACCACACACCATTTAGCTCATGCCTCTGACCATTGCTCCTTGTTCCACATGACTCACAGCATTTTAAAGGCAAGTTTTGTATCTGTGCATTTCTAAAAGTTGTCCCATGTAGACATACTGTATATCCCTTCAGCTGAGCTGTGGCTTACAGCTGCACCTCCGAACCAGTGCTTTAACTTCTCGGCTTGTTAGTTTAGGTGCACGACCACGTGTTGTTAGGTTAGAGGTAGAGGAGACAACAATAAGCATCTCAAACAGAGAGATCCATACTGCTTGAGCAATTACAAACCCCTGCACCTAAAGGACTCAATGACAAGATGGTGCTTAGTTTACTTTTATACTGTAATGCTTGTATGTTTTTTAAACGTATTTTACAATTATATACATACATGGAAGGATACATAAAGTAGTTGTGTGACATTCAGTGGATATTCTGAAATTGTAGTATTTACTATTTACGGATGAGACACATGTACGGGCTCAGCAATTCTCATACAGTCAGACAGCAGCTGGGAGACCTGCAGAACCTCTCCTTAATACAGGAAGTTATTTGAATAATAATAATAAATGTCCAAATATTAGGTGGAAATCATGATTATCTCAGCTTTTTTAACATCAAATAATCAGAGGATCAGACGGTTACATACACGCAGGCTCATATTTGATCACATAAACATACCCTAACATCGAAATGGGGACCACCTCCAAAGAGAATGAACAAGCAAAGATCCTGTGGTACTTCCAGATACAGACTGACAAGATGGTAATGCAGATCCAACCAGACATCGTGGCGTGGACAAAGGGTGAGAGTCAGAAATGTGCAGTGCTAGAAACGGCAAAAATACTGGGCAGAACCCTCCAAGATAATTATAATGTTTTATTAGTACTAAATCAATCATTGCATTATGAGTATTTTACATATTATTTCAATCTTTAGTGTTGTGATGTGACAACATGTGGAAAAGTTCAAGGTTGACTTCTGCCTGCCACTGTATGCCTGTGCTGAAGTTAGTAGTTCATGACCTCTCTGTGATTGTGATTGTTGATAAAGAAGCGGAGTCCACCTGCGTGCGGCCTTCTCTTGCTTATTAAGACCACTAAGGACACGGCTCTGGAGACTCTTGGGCCAAAGGATATTCTGCTTTACTTAAAACTAGAGTGTGCACCTGCCTGGGCCCAGCACCCCACGCCTCATATCCACGAGATGTTTACACGGTTGGATCATAGTCACTCTGTAGAGTTATATTTTATTTATATGTTTTTATACTTTTTTTTTTCTCCCACAGAGATTTGCTGCTGCAGGTGTTTTCTTCTTCAGCTCTGGTTGTGTGCTACAAAGCCAAGGATGTGCTGCGTGTCCTGAGGCAGCTTTACAAAAGAGAGTTCACATGGAAACAAGGCATGAAATGATAATTAGAAATGGACTAATGTTTTCTTAGTACATGTAAATGATCACACAAGCGGTGATTTAATTTAAAGAGACGGTATTACAACAACAAATGTGTATGATGCCTGCTGGATGGGAACTTAAACCAAGAATGCTTATAATGTCTTATGTAATTTTAGTTCAAGGCTGTCAAATCCATGATCCCCAACTGTCAGGCTGGCTCTTGGACCCCACAGACCCAGCCACTTGCTTTCAGGATCTTCTTTATAAACACTGTCGGAATCCCTGCACAACACCAGCCCTGGGCACCAAGAAGGTCAGGAACATTTGTCATGAAAACAATTGGTTGACGCTGGTGGTACAAACATTTATTTCATTGATAATTTTGTAGATATTTTTTTGTATCTCACATTCAGGTTACTCAAATCATCACTGGTCTCTGTTCTCTCTATCGTTTGAACATTAAATTATGTGAAAAACTTAAGGTATTGACATCAGAGGCAAGGTACCCTGTCACCTTCTGAAGTAATCTATGCTAATTCTTTAATGTGTGTGCTTAGAATCAGGGACTGTGGCAGCTTTATTCAGACATGGAGTTGAAAATGCTCCCAGTGCTTGCAGGTAGTTTTTTTGTATTGTTTCCCTGTATAAAAAAGATAATTATTGTCGTCTACCTATGATAGCTATGGAAGTCTGTCAGATCCATGTGGACAAAGAGGCTCTCAAAAGAACATCTGATCTACTAGGGGTAAGGAACAACTTCACTTAAAAAAACAAATTATCTACTCGGGAAACAGAATGAGTGTCACATGAGCTAAGATGTACTTAAAGTATTTGTTTCTACAGAAGTATGAGAAAAACTATATACCTTCTCACAGGTACTTGTAAAATATATGAAAGTGTTGGAAAAGCACACAAACGTTCATATCTTTTACTAGTTTTTAAATGAAGTGTGTCTTCCTTTTTCTCGTACTTATGTAGCAAATACTACAAATACATCTAACCCAAGTGTTTTCTCTGAGATACAATGGGTGTGAAAGTATTAATACAGATGAAGGGAAAGCAAAACTTAACATAATTTTGTTATTTTAAAATTAATATTCATACAGGTTTTCTCTGAGTGCTGAGAGCCTCAGATAAATCCTTTACAGATGTCCTAACGACTGCCATTAAATAGAGCCCACCTGTGTATTCTACTCAGTACAGTATAATGTGGTTTCCCAAACTTTAACCATCTCACAGAGCAGTGTTTAATCTATTAGTCAAAAATGAAGAGAGTACCACTGCAAACATATTGAGACCGTCTAATCTGACGATCTGAAATTTACTTTTGCTTTTATTATTATTTTTAATGAAATCATGTACAATTGTGCACAATTATCAGCTACTTGTTGTTCTTTTACAAAAAATCAATAATATTTGTTCTTGTTTCTGGTCATGATTAGGCAAAATGTATGAATTCTGTATTGTATTTTTCATTCATGATGAGACTGTCTTAAGCGCCCTAATGTAAAGATCAGAGAACTGTTTGATTCTCTTATCTGTTGTCGGTGAATGGACATTTTACATTTTACAAAAATACATTGAATTGAATTGAATTAAAGAATCCCATTCCCACTCTCGGGATGTATTCACACCAGTCCCAAAAGAACCAAAGTTAATTTTGAATCAAATTATTAAGGCAAAATGCTTCATTTGTGGAGATGTGAAACATAATGACTGTGTTGTGGTTGAACTCTGGTTCACTTGGGACTTAAGTGTCGATCTGATCTCCAGTAATTTAAACCTTTAGGTGCCCACTTTGTGCCCAATTTGTTGTGAAACTGTATAAGCAGATGAGGACAACTAAAATAAATAACAGAAATAACAACAACAAAAAATGTTTTAAAAAATATAGGAAAACATTTGTGGGCAGCCAGGTTGCTGCAAACAAAGTGTTCTAGATTCGGAACAGAAGCTCATGTAGCATGTTTGCTACATTGGTGCTGAAAGTGCTGTTGCAGATCATTCTTGAAGAAGTAATTTGCTTAACTCTTCACTTGATCGTCTCTGTTGCAGACAAAGATGAAACAGTTGGAGCAAGAGGCTCACAAAGCAGCGGGGCAGATGTTCTTGCTGACCAGCAGCACTCAGCTACGAACTGTATGTGTATATTTCATCATATATATTGGATTGCAGTGTTTTTATATAATTCCAGTATTAGATGAAAGTCAAAGTGCACAGTTAGTGGACTATGAGATATCAATTAACAAAAACACTTGGTCCTGGGTTCTAATCCCAGTCGTTCTGAGTGGAGTTTACATGTTCTCCCTGGTCTGTGTAGGTTTCCTCCGGGTACTCCGGTTTCCCCTACCACTAAAACCTTGTACAATAGGTCTGGCATGCGCCTCTTGTGCTGGCGACCCCACTCCCATCTCTATGTGGAGTGCGAGACAAATGCCCCAAAAAAAACAATTGTAAACCGTTTTGTGACTCTGATCTGTGAAAGGCAGTATATAAATAAAGATTGATTACTTACTTAAACAATAAAAAAAATTGAGGAATCATAACATTTTACCAGGAGTACCAATTTTACCCCAAGATGCGCCGACACGTCCACATACATGTGGTCCACCATCTTGAATTGAAGATTGTGAATTTGCGATATCTATTTTTTGAAAATGTTTTATTGCTTGCAGGTTCTGTTTGAAAGATTATGTCTCCATGAGCATTGTGAAAACAAGAAGCTTCCCAAGACTATCAACAAACAGCAGTCCACATCAGAAGCAGCAGTATGATCTAGTTTTATTTCAATTTATACGAAAAGAAAAAAACACTTACACAATGGTTTGCAAGGGTGACTTGGACAATAAATGTGTGTCTATCAATGGCATACTTTAACTATGTGTTATATTTTTGCCAACAGTTATTACAACTTCAAGATCTTCACCCTCTTCCAAAAATAATCTTGGAGTATCGCCAGGTATCTTGTCTGCTATATACCTTGTCTGCTATATACCTTTTTGAAGTTTCCTCTTTACCAAACAATTATAGAATAACAAAAGGCCGGGAGCCAGACCCTCTCCACAATGTTAAGATAAGATAAGATAAGATTGCTTTATTTATCTCACAGAGGAGAAATTTACATGTCACATTTGGCATGGATAGAGACACTCAGATTGTGCAAAGGGAGGAAATGTGCAAACATGTTACATGCAGGATATATGTACAATAAAGTGACAATAATTATGTACAACAAAAGTGACAAGTGTCAATTGGAAACAGTGTCAATAGTAGTGCAGGTTTTCACACAGTGATCATTTAAAGTGACTTATTGTACAGTCTGACCGCGGTGGGGATAAAGGCCCTGCGGTAGCGCTCCTTCCTACACTGAGGGTGTCTCAGTCTTCCACTGAAGGAGCTCCTCAGCTCCTCTACAGTCCTGTGCAGTGGGTGGGAGGTATTGTTCATGATGGAGGTGGCTTTGGCTAGCACCCTCCTGTCCCTCACCTCCTCCACAGAGTCCAGGGAGCAGCCCAGAGTGGAGCTGGCCCTCCTGACCAGCTTGTTCAGTCTGTTTCTGTCCCGCTCTGTGCTGCCCGGGGCCCAGCACACGGCAGCGTAGTAAATGGCAGAAGCTACCACAGAGTCATAAAAAGTCCTGAGCAGAGGCCTGCTCACTCCGAAGGACCTCAGCCTCCTCAGAAGGAAGAGGCGACTTTGGCCCTTCTTGTGCAGGGCGTTTGTATTATGGGACCAGTCCAGTTTATTGTTAATGTGAACACCCAGGTACTTGAAGCTGTCCACCAGCTCAATGTCCTCCCCCTGGATGTTCAGCAGCGTGTGGGAAAGTGGTTTTCTCCTGAAGTCGATGACCATCTCCTTGGTCTTACTGGTGTTCAAGCACAAGTGGTTGCACTCACACCAGTCGACAAAGTCCTTGATAACCGACCGATATTCCAGTTCGTTCCCCTCAGACATACAGCCCACGATGGCGGAGTCGTCGAAGAACTTCTGCAGGTGACAGCTGTGTGTGTCGTGTGTGAAGTCTGAGGTGTAGATGGTGAAGAGAAACGGTGAGAGGACAGTGCCCTGAGGGGCCCCAGTGCTGCAGACGACCACCTCAGACTCACAGCTGCGCAGCCGCACGTACTGTGGTCGGTCTGAGAGGTAGTTGATGGTCCACGCAGTGAGGCTACTGTCCACTCCCGCGTCCTCCATCTTCCCCCGCAGCAGTGCCGGCCTGATGGTATTGAAAGCGCTGGAGAAGTCGAAAAACATGACCCTCACAGCGCTCCCGGCGGGCTCCAGGTGGGAGAGCGTCCGCTGCAGGAAGTAGATGACGGCGTCCTCTACTCCGATGTTGGGTCTGTAGGCGAACTGCAGTCGGTTAACCTCCGACTTTCTGCTTCTGTCAAGCTAATTATGTCAACATTGTTGTATGTTATTATAGAATAACTAAATAATCTAATAAAAAGAAAATACTAACCTTCCTATATAAATATGATGAACCTTTCCTATAACAAATACTAACACTAACTGCATGTGTTGTCCTCTAGATTCACAAGATCAAGTCTACTTTTGTTGATGGGATTCTTTCATGCATGATGACCAAGGTGATGCTAAAGCAAGATTCAAAGTTATCTTTTGTTCTTCTTGACAGTTTTAATCCAGAAATCGGATTTTCTAGATAGATGGAACCCAAGACGTTTATTTTGGTTCCAAAATTATTTATGTTTTCAGCTCTGTCTAAAGACACACTACTACATCTTCTTCAGAGGTGTTCTCTTTTGAAGTAGTTTTGCCACTTATTTAATTTGTAGAATTTTTCAGGTAAAAGGTCAAGGTTCTTTACATCTGGATGATTCTTTTAGGAATTAAATAATATATATATAAAAAAACAATTCAACTTCACCCTCTGGTGGTAGCAGCAGCCACATGAAGAAACCATATTTTCTCATTTATATAATGTCAATCCATATATAGTCTACTTGATACATCTCCTCCAAGGGGATAGCCAACCAAAATCCTTTGTGTGTATGTGTCACCAGCTGCCATATTGAGCTCTTGTTTTTGGAAGTTTGCAAAATCATGCGAAAGCAGCAGAAGACTGAACTCACTTCATGAAGTGAACCTGCAGCCATATGGCTGTTGTATTAAGACTTTGACACCTTCACTACTTACAGAATTTGTTGTAAAAGTGTTTTCCAATTCCCCACATTTATAAACCCATTTAACTCGGTTTTGTTTATTTCAGAACTATATTTCCTCCACATGGCACCAGACGAGTGTAGTTACAGGCAGAGTCTCAGCCACACATCCAGTGAGTATTGACGAGTGGAGATGATTTACACATTAAATATTTTCTGCTCAAATCGAGTCATGTTTTTGTACCTTTTTTAGAGCTTCCAAACTAAACTTGTGTAAAACATTTTTGTTTAGCTATATCCTTAATGTATTATAGGAAAATGTGATATTGGTTTAAAAATAAATAATGTAAAAATCTAATAATTATGGGTGCTCAGGAAAAAATAATAGGCACAATAAAGATAATAATTTTGATTCAAGTTGGTGAATCTACAGCGTGGATATGTGCTCCATGATGCCCTGATGTCTGTCGGGGCCACTCGACTTGGGACCATAGACAGTTGGGACATAATGCTCTCACCATTGTGTCTGCCATTAGAGCAGCACAATTTTAGACTTTATTAGTGTTCCTTTTTTTTTTTTACTAAGCTGTGTTATATAGTGCTGTGGTCCAAATCTGTTTTACTTCTGTGACTTCTGCTTTTAGCTTTGTATTTGATGTGCTGTAATGGGTTGAGCTCCATTGGGTTTTTCAAAGCTCGCTCTACATGGGGCATGGGAGCTTCCATTGCTTTCTCCTTGGTCTGTCTGTCTGATGTCTGTGATACATCTGTGAAGGATATTGTACCTGGTTACATCCAGCTTTTGGGTCACTGTTCCTTCATAAAACTCTTGTGCGAGGAGAAAGACAACCTATGGGCACATTATTTCAGGTGTCTTCTTGCTGCCTTGAGTCTTAACGGTGAGTGTGGTTTCTCTATGTCTCAGGCATGTTCCAATCACGTCCAATCATTGATTATATTTCACAATAATTGACCCTCTGTATTACCACTATCCAGACAAAGAAGTTGACCATATTGGATCAAACCCAAGGCACAATTTTCATCCAAAATACGCAACAGTCAGAATGAGACAGATTTTGTGATTAGCAGTATGAGGTCACATTCCAAATACATCTCTGGCGCCTTGGGAGAATTGTGAACTGTGTATGCGAATGTGTATGAGCATTAGGGATGAGCATTATGTTCTGAAAAATAAATACATGAATATTTAAATAATACAAATAATGATAAATGTACTATAAATAAAAAAATACAAATTGATACGCCTCATTCACCGCCGCCCCTCTCTGTGCCTGAGGATGAGACTCCTGAAACACAAAATACTGAAGTTACACACACTTTACTGCATGCAAGAACTGAACCGGAGAAGGCCCCTGCTAAAAAAGAGCAGTCTGGATGCCACTGTACTTAAAGGAATAGTTCACCGTTTTTACATACTGACATATGTTCTTACCTTACCTTAGACTAGTTAATACGTATCTGTCTGGTCTTAGTCCGTGCGCTCTGTCATGCAAACGGAGCAAAAACGGGAGCACAAATGCAGCCTCCTCTGTATATTTTGTAGCACCAAAAGGTAGCTCCCGCTAGAAGCTACCAAACTCTTCCAAGTGTTCCCTATTAAATGTATATAGTTACGTGACGTGTTACACTGCAAAGTATAGTAACACAGAAATGTAACAGTCGATTTTCTCAGCGGATAAAACGGGTACTATATTGTGAGGCGTAGTAATCTGAGGAGCGCTACGTCCGCGCACTAACTTCTCTCCGTACTACAAGTCACGCTGCTTCTATTGACGGAAGTGAGCGAGAGAGAAGTCTCCGGAGAGAAGTTAGTGCGCGGACGTAGCGCTCCTCAGATTACTACGCCTCACAATATAGTACCCGTTTTATCCGCTGAGAAAATCGACTGTTACATTTCTGTGTTACTATACTTTGCAGTGTAACACGTCACGTAACTATATACATTTAATAGGGAACACTTGGAAGAGTTTGGTAGCTTCTAGCGGGAGCTACCTTTTGGTGCTACAAAATATACAGAGGAGGCTGCATTTGTGTTCCCGTTTTTGCTCCGTTTGCATGACAGAGCGCACGGACTAAGACCAGACAGATACGTATTAACTAGTCTAAGGTAAGGTAAGAACATATGTCAGTATGTAAAAACGGTGAACTATTCCTTTAACAACTATCGTCCCATCTCAAATCTGCCATTAATGGGGAAAGTCCTTGAAAAAGTTGTCTACCTACAGCTTACTAGATTTCTTATAATCAACAACTCATTTGATATGTTTCAGTCTGGCTTTAGACCCCACCACAGCACCGAGACTGCTCTCGTTAAGGTTACAAACAATATCCGGCTGAACACTGACGCAGGCCAAGTCTCAATCTTAATCTTGTTAGATCTAAGTGCTGCCTTTGACACCGTCGACCATGAGATCCTCTTACAGAGACTAGAGGACTGGGTTGGCGTTGCTGGCACCGCCCTAAGTTGGTTTAGGTCTTACCTTGAAGACAGGAAGTACTTTGTGGAGATTGGAAACTGTGTCTCAGATCATATGGCCCTGACCTGTGGAGTACCACAGGGTTCGATCCTTGGACCTCTTCTGTTCAATCTCTACATGCTGCCGTTAGGTCAGTTAATACGCAGAAACAAAGTGTCCTATCATAACTGTGCAGACGACACTCAGATCTATGTCTCACTGACTGCAGTAGAACATGGACCAGTGGACTCATTCCTTCACTGTATCCAACAGATCAGTGAGTGGATGCAAAACAACTTCCTTCAGCTAAACGCAGACAAAACTGAAATGATTCTCTTTGGTCCCCAGAAACAAAGAGAGAGCGTCATCTGTCACCTACAGTCTCTCTCCCTAAAACCTTCAAACAAGGTCTGAAATCTAGGGGTAATACTGGACTCAGACTTAAATTTTAATAGCCACATCAAATCAGTAACATCAGCAGCTTTTTACCATCTAAAAACATTGCCAGAATCAAAAACATAGTGTCTAAAGCAGACTTGGAGATTCTTATCCATGCATTTGTCTCCAGTAGGTTAGACCAGTGTTTTTCAACCACTGTGCCGCGGCACACTAGTGTGCCGTATGATATTGTCTGGTGTGCCGTGAGAAATTTGTCTACTTTGTCTAAAAATAACTGCATTCGCTGTTGAGCGGTGACTTGTTTTGAACTGTGAGTAACCATGTAATACTTTTTCAAATCAGTAGATGGCAGCAGATAGCTAAGTACTTTGAAACTGAAAAATTGGATGCGACCACTGGCTGTAACAGGTCAGCATTGTGGCGAGAAAGGTAAAATTGGATGCGACCAACAAATGTGGGAGGGAGCGAGACAAGAGCTTTGTGGCGAGTGAGAAGTGAAAGTGATAGAGACGTTTTTGAAAATGAATTATGCCGTTTCTGAACAGGATTAACATCCTCCGCTCTGCCCCGGGGCAGCTGTGGCCGCGTTGTAGTGGTTTAACTATGAAATGTACAATCGCGAACGCACTTCTGAACTGGGTACCGAGCGCAGACCATAGTCGAGTGGACAGAACCACAGACATGCGGACCGGACAGAACCATAGACATGCGGACCGGACAGAACCATGGACTCGCGTTCAGGACCTCCCGTGTCCCTCATCCAAAACTCCTGAATTTAAAGCTCGGATACCTAAATTTTTCCCATGCACTAACAATGCATGTTCTTTGTGTGAGTTATTATTTGACTATTTGGGCAGAGAGTGGATTTTCTTAGTTTTTTTCCACACAGTTAGTGCCACTTTATTACCAAACTCTTGTTAATTGTATCGAGAAATGTTAAATAAAGCTTAATGTCAAGGCCTGGACTTAAGCATTTTGATGAGAATAACTGTATATTGTGAATATAGGCTACAGAGTATACTGTATACATTATAAGATAAGATAAGATATACTTTATATATCACACAGAGTATGTACAGTATATATTTTTACATTAGTACTGTATACATTTTTACATTTTCTCCTGGAGGTGTGCCGCAAGATTTTTTCAGTGAAAAAAGTGTGCCTTGGCTCAAAAAAGGTTGAAAAACACTGGGTTAGACTACTGCAATGGCCTGCTCACAGGTCTGTCCAAACAGGCTGTAAAACAGCTGCAGTACATTCAAAATGCAGCAGCTCGAGTCCTGACTAGAACCAGGAAGTACGACCACATTAGTCCTGTCCTCAGGTCTCTGCACTGGCTTCCTGTGGCTCAGAGAATAGACTTTAAAACAGCTCTGCTTGTGTACAAATCTCCATGGCCTCGCACCAAAATATATCATAGTACCATATGAACCAGCCCGGACTCTGAGGAGCACAGGGACTGGACTCCTGTTAGTGCCCAGAGTCAGAACTAAACATGGGGAGGCTGCTTTTCAGATTCATGCTGCTAAAATCTGGAACAATCTTCCTGAAGATGTGAGACAGGCCTCCTCTCTGACAATTTTTAAAACCAGGTTAAAAACGGTTCTGTTTAGCTGTGCATACAACTGAGGGATTTTGTATTTTTATCTTTCTTTTTAATGTTCTGTGATTATTTATGATTTCAATGCTTTCTTGTTTTGTTCAGCACTTTGAGTTGCCTTGTGTATGAATTGTGCTATACAAATAAACTTGCCTTGCCTTGAGAAGACCTGGAGACAGCACTCAGAGGTTTAGTCTGCTGTAAAGGGATTTGTGTCGTGGTTGAAGCTTTTGTAATTGCTGCTACATACTTATGTATTATTGTGATTACATGAACAGTATAGATTAACATGGAACATTGAATAAGTCTTGTATTTATTGCTCATAGGGAACAGTTGATAAGCAAACCTACAGGTTATTGATGCTGTGTATGTATTCAAAGCAGACTAGGCTTTTTGTCCTTCAACCATTTAATTTTATGCCACCACCCCCACCCTGACCCCACTCTTGTTGGGATTGCACCTTTCACATAGGCCTTAACACATGCTGCAGGTCACGTATCCCTTGCCCCCTCCCTTTGCATGCGTCCCCTGCTCTCTGTCCACGCCCTTCCACTGCAGTCCTGCATTTATCCTCTAGTGAATAATAAATGGACAGTGAAAGCTGCAACTCAATTTTCCTCTGTGAGGCAGGCCCCCTCACAGCCAGAGTCAAAACTCCATTTAACATGTACTTTTTAATCACACTTTGTTGTGCATTCTTGGCTATTTCATGAATCAAAACTGAATATTTTCATTGTTTAAATTACATTACTAACTTAAAGCAATATTTAGATTTATTTAGTATAAATTGTCTCCTCATTAGCCATCATCAATTGTATACAAAACACAAAAAATGTTACATTTTCCTGATTTGGGCAGACATCCACTATTTAATTGTTTCAAGGTGTTAAACAAATTACAAAATATTTTTATCTTATTTCAAGATTTTTTTTAAACGTGTTAAGAAAATATTAGTATCAGTACAAAACTCAATATAAATCTAATCAAAGTCATTTTAATTAACATGAAATCTTATTGGAGATAAATGAAAGATACATTCTGTATCTTTGTGTTTAACAGAACTTCCAAGCTCTTCCGAGACAGCCTCTTCAAGTGACCAGAAAACAGTTCATTGCAGGTAATGATGTACAAAATGTCTTCTCTAGATTTTCATAATAATGATTAATGCTTTGGAGCATGCCTCTTACATGTGCTTATTCTGGATGCACACATAATGTGGGCTGCTGCACCTGAAATCATCAGGTGGAACAGTGCAACTTGCTTTTCCGTCTGTGATGACTGTTAGTCTCTAATGCTGGCTGGAGGCCCGGCGATGGACTTGTGTAAAACGCCTAAATCAGAGCATAAAGTACAGTGGCCCATCTAACTGCTTTGTTTTTTCATTTCAGAAAAGGAAGACGAGGTTGTGACTGTGCATCCTCGAGCCATGTTTGTTCCTAAAGAGGGTTGGACTTTCCTCTCTGCAGGTAAAATGGTAGATACATTTAAAGAAGGTCCGGAAATCCTTATTTTATTCATTATATTATTGTGATATTAGCTGCAGCTGCTCACCCACATTGTCCTGTATGAGTCTGGTGCCTGATAACTCTGTGCCACCATGTGTTGCAGCCTGGAGTCAGTTTACCCCAGGGCAGCTGTGGCCACAGAAGTGGCTTAAAACTTTTGTGTGCATAGCGAAGGAATTATTCATTAGTGTTTGTAGTTTTTGTGAGTCAGTCTGTGAAAACTTTAGATAAATCAAAACTTTCCGCCCCTGCTGCAGCCGCTGATACCTGCACAAACACACAGTTTTATTTAATGGTCTCTAACAGTTTTGTATTGTACTGTTATTTCTCCCATTTTCAGAGAAGCACAAACTTTCATCAGTCTTTTTCCTCTGACTCAGAGTGTGCGCCTTCTGTTTCCTCTCACAGTGAGTTAGGTGCAGCCACAGATACAGTCAAATAAAGAAACATAAAGTTGCATTTAAGAGACCTGGAACTGGAAGAGAAATAAGCGATAAAGCTAATGGGACAAGCTCCACTGACCTCACAAGTTCACGCTCTGATGCTTCAGAGAAACAGCAGACGCATGTTGGTGGTTTCTTATGTTAACAATGTGTCAAATCCAACAGTAGGAAGGTGTTCTGGATTTATCCCTTACAGGGTTTTTTTCTCTCGGCTCGTGGTTCTCAGGTTTGCCACCCAATTGCCAACAATAGAACATAATATGACCTTTTACATTTGCAAAAATATCTAATCACTCTGTGTGAGGTAACTTTCACCCTGAAAAGTCCTTTCTGTTCTGCAGGAAGTTATTTGACCTATTTCTAAGAAATAGATTGAGTCAAAATATGTTGGAGGAAAGTAAATAGAAAGTAAATAGATCATCAATAGATTAATATATGTTTAAAGGTATGATTCATTCAGGTTCTGGATAAGGCTGTTTGGACAGAACTGGCTCATTGTGAGCTGAGGAGAGCTTTTTACGGTAAATGGGGTGTGTGGGTCTTACATAAGAGGCTACAAAGACTTGCGTTAGCAGGAGGACAGTGGTGGGATGAGCGCTCACTGCAGCTGCACATGCCCACACCATCTACATGTCCTCCTGTGTCCTTTCCAAAACCCGACTTACTGCGGTGGGTGTTCAAATAACGCTTGGACATTGCTTTTCAATTGTAGATGACAGACCTTTCCACTGGTTTGTTTCAGTAAAGAATAAACACTCACTGAAAAACACAGATTTATGAGAGTTTTGTATTTTGAAAAATTGAAAAATGGAAGTAAAAACAAAATTGCTAGATCTTTATTGAGGGTTGCCTTAATATCTTTACAAAAATGTTCAAGGTTTACAATCTAAAGTGAGTCAAATTTGGCTAATAATAGTATCAAATTGTATATTTGAAAATGTGCATGATGGATTATGCGCAATGTAGAAAGGCGAGTAAGAGTATGATAGTACCTCACAAGTTACAATCAAGGACAACAAGCGACCCCTTTTCTACGGTTACATGCCGCTGTTTGGCAAAGCTGAGGGCCATTTATCGCTTTTTGCGGCTATATTACTTATATTATTATGCATCGTTTTTTTCATTTCATATTTGCCATTATCGCACAACTCTTCTTAGGTATTCTTTTCTGTGCTTGTAGAGGTCTGAACCACATAATTAAAGGTGTGATGGATGTGTCCTGTGTGTTTTCCCAGACTTCTGCCAGGTGGAGCTCCGTCTGTTAGCTCACCTCTCCTCTGACCCCGAGCTGCTCCGCGTCTTCACCAGCCCAGAGGCGGACGTCTTCAATATGCTGGCCTCCCAATGGTACGCCTTGCACATGCACACACAGGCTCACGTTATTGCCAAGGTGAGGGCTCCACAGGATCTTGCATTTATGTCACCAATAACCTTGCTCCCATAATGACGCCCAGCTGATCCATTTATCTCAAATATACGTACAGTGCCTTGCAAAAGTATTGCCTTGTGTTGCCTCACAACCTGGAATTAACATGGATTGTTTGAGGATTTGCATCAGTTGATTTACAGAACATGCCCACAACTTTGAAGATGTTTTTTTTATTGTGAAGCAAACAACAAATAGGAAAAAATAATAGAAAAGGTCAATATGCATAACTATTCACCCCCCTAAAGTCAATACTTTGTAGAGCCACCTATTGCGGCAATCACAGCTCCAAGTCGCTTTGGATAAGTCTCTATGAGTTTGCCACATCTTACCACTGGGATGTTTGCCCATTCTTCCTTGCAAAACTGTTCCAGCTCCTTCAAGTTGGATGGTTTGCGCTTGTGAACTGCAATCTTTAAGTCTGACCACAGATTTTCTATTGGATTGAAGTCTGGGCTTTGACTAGGCCATTCCAACACATTTACATGTTTCCCCTTAAACCACTGAAGTGTTGCTTTAGCAGTGTGTGTGGGGTCATTGTCCTGCTGGAAGGTGAACCTCCGTCCTAGCCTCAAATCACGCACAGAGTGGTACAGGTTTTGCTCAAGAATATCCCTGTATTTAGCACCATCCATCTTTCCCTCAACTCTGACCAGTTTCCCAGTCCCGGCTGCTGAAAAACATCCCCACAGCATGATGCTGCCACCACCATGTTTTACAGTGGGGATGGTGTTCTTTGGGTGATGTGATGTGTTGGGTTTGTGCCAGACATAGCGTTTTCCTTGATGGCCCAAAAGTTCAATTTTAGTCTCATCAGACCAGAGCACCTTCCTCCATACATTTTGGGAGTCTCCCACATGCCTTTTCGCAAACTCAAAACGTGCCATTTTGTTTTTTGCTGAAAGTAATGGCTTTCTTCTGGCCACTCTACCATAAAGCCCAACTCTATGGAGCGTATGGCTTATTGTCGTCCTATGTACAGATACTCCAGTCTCTGCTGTGGAACTCTGCAGCTCCTCCAGGGTTACCTTAGGTCTCTGTGCTGCTTAATGCCCTGATTAATGCCCTCCTTGCCAGGTCCGTGAGTTTTGGTGGGCGGCCGTCTCTTGGCAGGTTTGCTGTTGTGCCATGTTCTTTCCATTTGGTTATGATAGATTTGATGGTGCTCCTGGGGATCATCAAAGATTTTGATATTTTTTTATAACCTAACCCTGACTTGTACTTCTTAACAACACTGTCCCTTACTTGTTTGGAGAGTTCCTTGGTCTTCATGGCAATGTTTGGTTAGTGGTGCGACTTGCTTAGGTGTTGCAGCCTCTGAGGCCTTTCAAAAAAGGTGTGTATATGTACTGACAGCTCATGTGACACTTAGATTGCACACAAGTGGACATCATTTCACGAATTATGTGACTTCTGAAGGTAATTGGTTGCCCCAGAGCTTTGTATGGGCTTCATAACAAACGGGGTGAATTCATATGCACATGTCAATTTCCAGTTTTTTATTTCTGAAAAATAGTTTTATGTATATCCATCCATCCATTTTCTACCCTTTAATCCATTTCTGGGTCAGGGGGGTGGCAATCAGAGATGCCACCCAAGTCTCATAGCACCAGCCCCTCACTGACCCTCTGCAGGTGGTGAGTCCACAGGAGGACGGCTGCTCTCTGAGTGTGAGCATAGCCTTGATCTTTCATGTATATATTTTTCTCAATTCACTTCACCAACTTAGACTATTGTTTTCTGATCCATCACATGAAATTCAAATTAAAAAAACATTGAACTAAAGGCTGTAATGTAAAATGGAGGTGAATACTTTTGCAAGGCACTGTAGGTAATAACAAACAGAACGTATACATCACAATTACAGATTAATACTATATAAAGGATCAACAATTTAACAAAAGTAAGGGCAGACGAGACTGGCTCAGTCAGTTATTTCATGTTATGGTGAGGCTAATGTTAGAAACGTGCCCCTCATATGCATTTTTTCAATCTTTTGGGTGTTTTCAGCTGTTCAGAGCTGCTCCTTTGCCCCTGTAATCTGTCTCAGTGAAGTGTGGAGCAGAGGGCGCTCACTTAAACAGATTATTTTGTTGCACAGAGCATATTAGTGCCTCCACAGAGTTTCATAGAGACGCCTTCATTATCTCACTTTCATACTTAACAGGTGCAATTGTAGCCCGGCTGGAACGCTCTTTGAAACCTATGTCTGTATTGTCATCTTTGCTTTATAGTACTCTTGAATGGGTCATGTGTGAGTCCTGTACTTACATGGCCTGAACGACAGCACTGCCCAATGGAAGCTATTTTATTTTCAACAATACAAAGTCAGATTGCACATTTTAAACTAAATGCTATTATAATTTGTACTAAATTGCTATACATACAGGTACAGGTATAGTCCCCCAAATACCAATAAAATTTAATACACTTAGAAGTATTCCTGTATTCACTATATATACAGTGATATGCAAAGTTTGGGCACCGCTATCAATTTTTAGGATTCTCCTTTCATAAATCATTGGTTGTTTGGAAAATACATTTCAGTTTAATATATTATATAGGATATGAGGATTGAAAAAAAAGTATTATTTTTTAGGTAGAAAGATTCTAAAAGGTTCTAAAAGATTCTAAAAGGAAGCTTGTGATCTCAACTGAACGACCACTACAGGGGCAGTGTTATTCATTGGATATTTATTATATTTTATGTATTGTTTATTTTGTTGTGACAGTGCATGTTAGTGAACACACCTCTCCGGATTGGACTAATTGCCTTGGACTAATTTGCATCCGTTGTCCCACATTGATGTGTGTTTGTCTTATGTTCTCCAGGAAAGGTGTAAGTGTAAAAGAAGTGTCATCGGAGGACCGGGAACACGCCAAACGCATTGTCTACTCTGTGGTGTACGGCGCAGGTGAGAACACCAGAAACAACTGGCCTGCCTGTATTTTGTCTTTTACTATGAACCAAGTCTGGAATAACAGTGTAAATCAATAAATTGACTAAAATTGTGATCATTTGTGTGAGAATACCTGTTAGAGGTGACATTAACTCAACAGGATGATGTGTTTTACGAGCAGCTTTCATTACCGACACTGTAGCTATTCCTAAGAATGCTTCTGAACGGTCGTCAAGCATGAATTGTACTGAGACCAATCTGGAGAAACTAAAATGTTCATCACAGAGTAGTTCCCGTTTGAACTGACATCAAACTAAAGCTTTGTCAGAACAAGAAGCCGACTGATATGAATTTCCCTAAACATTACACAAAATATGAAACCACATTCTGCCAACAGTGCACACTTGACCCAAAAGTGAATGTTGTGAAAAAGATAAAAAGGCATTTTAAATTTTCATGAGAAGCTGCCAAACAAATTAATTCTCTAAAATTTGGATTTCAAATTATCTTCAGCTATTAAATTATTCACAATGGAATTTCTGGATATATTTGTGTATTTTTATATGTAACAATTTATTCACATGAACTTATGTTTTATTTGGTTGGGTTAACAACTGAATGTGTGTGTTGCAATACTTTGTAGTATGTACTAATTAATGGATTTGCAGGCTTCCGAACACCTGCTCAGTTCATCTGCTCAAAACTGCAATTTTCAGTAAATGAATTTAGCTAAACTTTACAACTTTTTTTGTCATCGTAACTTTATTTGCCGTTGTGACGTTGTACATTGGAATTTAGTGTCTTATCAGTGGATAAAACTGTATTAGGTTGATTATTTGTATTAGTACTTGGTGAAAAAGGTGGTTAATTGATATTTTAATGAAGCAAAAAGTAACTATGATATGCAGTGCCCCGCCAACACCACAGACCATTATGAACTGTTAATGGGGTCTTCCTACACACAAAAAATAAGTTCAATCCATCCACTCGCACAGTGAGTGCGAGTGAGACGATTACAATACCCCCCTGTTGGTGGGGTAATAATTTGCATGTTAATGCATTCAATTCTCTAATTTTCCCCAATTCAATATATTTTCAAAAAACGAGTTCAAATGAGCTAGCTGATATTTTACAGATATAGCATGTTTAATTAACCAAAAATCAACATCATCATATTTACTGTAGATGTTTTAGATGTCTACAGTCACTCTCCTGCTCTCATGCAGATTCAGAGCTGAGCTGAGCACTGCTTCAAGAGGCTCAAAGTGAAAAGAGGCAAATGTTGACGCTAAAGGACTTAACCTTGAGCAATAAACTTTCAAGTCTTTTTCAAACCTAATGGATACTTAAGATGCCGGTGTTACCTGTGGAGAGAGCAGAAGATGAGGGTTTGGCAGAAACAGACATTGATATATAGAGTATGTTGGTAAAGAGTGAATAGGTAGAGGACATATAAATGTAGGCTAAAGGGTACAAGGGCCGTGAGAGAAGGAAATGTGTGCATTCTCCTCTTGTGCTCAGACAGACCACTCTTCATGCAAGCATGTGTTTCCATGGAGACTGAATACTAAAAGGAAGCTTTCTGCACAGACAATAATCAGGGCAGGGAGGAGGGGCAAAGCGAGCTCACACATTTCTGTGAGCTCACAAGTGGGTCAGCAAACAAGCGTCACAAGTATATATACTTTGTTGAGGAATTAAGTGTTTCTTTGTTGGGAAAAAACAACATGTTTTTATAATTCCATTTTGACCTGAATCAAAAAGGAAAAAAACTGAGCACAAACAAATAAGAAGTCACTGCTTGCGGTTCAAGACCAGGCATGTAATTGCACAATGGAGGTCAAAGTTTGCCTACCGATGGTTGGAATGTTGGCTTTAGCCTTACAACCATTTTTGTGTGAAATCCAACATAAGACCAATATTGAAAAGAACAATACATTAATGATTTAGCAAGAACCCCCATATCTGACAGAATCTAACTACATAAACATTGCTGTCAGCAGAACACATATTATCGTAATATTAGTGATTATTACTTTACTACTTCCAAACATTTGAAGGTAAAGATCTGAGTTGAGCTTGTATCCAATTCATATTTTTTTTCATGATTTTGTGTAGGTCTTGAGCGCTTGTCAGGGATCCTGGGTGTAAGCACAGAGCAGGCTCGCCGATTCCAGGACAGCTTTCTCCAGACATACATGGAAGTGCAAAAGTTTATCCAGAAGACTGTTGCTGAGTGTCAGCAAAAAGGTTTGTAAATTAAACTTAAATTTGTGAGGAGATTCTGGGTATCATTCCTTCTGTTGTTGTACTGCTGATGCAACATCATCCACTGTGGAACGAGTATTGGATATTTAAATATGTTAATCTTAATATATAAACTAACAAAATAATTTTGTTTGCGTAATGTCCATTCCTCTTTGTCTATATATATAGATAGATAGATAGCTCTGTGTGTGCTCACATTGGCCACAGAGAGACAAATTGCCTGTTGTCAATACCTGAGGAGAGTGTTGTGGATCAGAGGTTGCATGGGCAGAGACTGATCAGATGGGACATCTATTTATACTTCCACCAAACTGCCAACACAGCACACCTGGGGCTTACACCAAAACTGTTCAGTCTGCACTTTTACCTTCACTGTTCTTGATTCTGGGCTGAAGAAAGATTAAACCTCCTTACATTAGGTGCAATGCATTTTCAAGCCATCTGTTGAGACAAGGGATGTGTGTGTGCGTTGGTTCTATGACTGTGGGTTTTGGCAACATCACAAATCAATTTACATGTGACCATGCATGATCTATTGTGGGACCTCTGAATCCTTGTCAGCTGCTACAAGAGCAATACCAAGGGATGCAGAGATGTGTGGTAGGTCCTGCATCTATTCCCAGGAACTGGGAAAGCTCTCCCAGCAATGACAGCAATAATACCGAGTTCTCTTGGGTGCTGGAAGGCAGTCTTCAGTAAGCCACCACAGGATCTGTCTTCATTTTCAATGAAGCAACAAACGAACTATTGGTACTGATGCTCAGATATTGGCTCGAACTAGGGCTGGGCGGTATAAACGGTATAAGCGGTATAAGCGGTATGCGGTATAAATTTGGCCCACGGTAGAGATTTTTGTTATACCGGCATATTGCGATAGGTCATTATGTCATCAAATTGCGCAGGCTCTGACACCAGCAGAAAGCACCAAAACAAACCGGCATTCAGCAGCATTAGCCTAGCAGCTTTAGCCTAGCAGACACCACTGGAAACAACAGCACGGCTTTCACACCGTTTTTCTGTCTCTGTATTGGTCACAGCGGCCCCAGCGGAGGTAAATACACACACAGCAATCACAGTTTACATGTCTACCTTTCGGCCAATGAGTGTCAAAGGGGCGTAGGCTCGAAGCGCCATCGTGAGCCGAAATAGATCCATGCTTGTGCCGTGTCCGCATCATCTCAGAAGTTTTGTAAAGTTAGCGTCCGATTCAGACTTCCGCGGTCCATAGATCACGAAAGCTACTTTGTTAAACAAAATGAATTGTGCCAAAATGAGCATTTACATCAATTGTTCAAATCAAATGCGCTGTTTTAATGCAGATAAATCCATTGAATCATCCAGTTCACAGCAAGCGCTTAGGGAGCGTCAACAAATGGCAAGACTAGCTTTGTAAACGAACAATAGCTTTTACTGAAGCCATGCATACGCACTAAACTCTGACACTATAAAATAATGACCATGTCTAACTGCTACAGATATTATATAATATATTTTATATTTTTATATTATTTAAAATTGCTTTCACAGTTAATGGTCTTTACTGTAACATACATAAATAATGTATGTTACAGCATTTGTCTCTCACCTGATTTTCAAACTCAAAAAATATATATCAGATTCTAATGTATAGATAAGTAACAATCTTGACTATTTTATGCAAGAACCTGCTAAACCTATATTGAAATTCACATACCAAATTATACCGTGATGTATACCGTCTACCGTCTGTGACCCAAATCATACCGCGATATGAATTTTAGGCCATATCGCCCACCCCTAGCTCGAACTATCAGTGAATTCAACACACTTTGACATATACCTCCAGAAATGAACAGACTGCACACTCTTTCTTATAATCACTGTAAATTGCACTCTGCAGTGTAATTTTATTAATTCATTCAATCCAACATTATTGTGTGATGCCACCAAAGGATCAGGTGATTACAGGCAAAAAAGCAACAGACAGCAAGCAAAATAGGGCCTGAATCTAAAAATATGTGAGAGAGGGAGAGAGAAAACTATTATTGCATGATTAAAAAGACTAGGAATTGACTTGTTATATACAAGAGTTTCCCACCAATGATTTTCAAGATGATAGAAACATAGCAACAGTGCATACAAACAGGATGCTCAAACCTGTGATTTCAGGTAGCTTCTGGATAATCGTTGTGCTATGTGTAAAAATCACCTAGGCTGAGCCAGGCCCACATTCCTCTTAATGAGCCCCTAAACAAAGGTTAAATTCCACTCAAAGGTCACATGCAAGCTTCATGGATCAATTCACTCTTGAGTTTTTGTGTTTTTTCCCGAATGCATTTTATGTGCTTGTGTTCATTTTGGGCACATGGTCATTCAGGTTTATGCCCCGTTTAGCTTTCCTCATAGTAAGTGGGATACACAGGGATTTAGCCTCGAAAGCCCCATCTATTGTGCAGCTAAAGGAATGTACTGGTCTGCTGTATGTCTGTGTGTGGAGTGCATACCTGGATATGACAATGCATTACATCATCACATGTACTGGTAGAAATAAATTCCAATGATGTACGTACTTTAAAAAAAAAATTCAAAAGAGGATTCAACATGGTGTTTGTGTTCTTAGTTATTTTATCAATCGTGTCCAGGTTATGTTCTGTCAATTATGGGCCGACGACGTACCCTTCACAACATTAACTCTCCTGACTGGAGTGTTCGTATGCAAGCTGAGAGACAAGCTGTCAACTTTGTGGTCCAAGGTACTGCATTTTCTAATAAACTCTCGTTCATTTGTTTTTCAGTAGTTTGACGATTTGTTTCATTTTTGCCAAAGGCTCAGCTGCAGATCTTTGTAAAATGGCAATGATCAGAATCTTCAACCTACTCTCCACCTCCAGCTCTGTCTCTGCCAGGTCTTAAACACACTATTATTACCACAAGCTTTCCACAATATACTTGAAATGACTTGAAGAAACAACATACAGTGAAATTCGGCTGTGGGGTGGATCAGATTGTTTGGGGCCTGATTTGGGCCCCGATCTGCATAGTTTAATTTTTGTGAGTTTATCCAACATTAGCAGCTAAAACAACATTCAAATAACTATGTAAAACACTGAGATTAAAAACAGTTAGAACATTTAAATATATTATAGCCACAATCTAGTGTGCTAGATTGTGTTTCTTGTGTGTTTCTTTCTGTTTTTGTAGGCTGGTTGCACAGCTCCACGATGAGCTTTTGTACGAAGTGGAAGACTCGCAGATACAGCAGTTTGCAGGTGAGCGCTAAGAAAACTACTATCCTCTTATTTAAATATGTAATACATTTTGATATAGACTTGCTCATGTATTTGTTGTAGCTGTTGTGAAAAGTACTATGGAGTCTCTTGAGCACATTGATCAACAAAACATCCATCTTAAAGTAAGTCATTTTGTTTTTCTTACAAGACTGCATTAAACGATAGGTCATGTTGTGATTTTGCTTAGTTTATATGGCCATTTAGCCGCTACAAAGAACCCCCTGTTTGTCTCACTAGGTCACAGTCTATTAGAATAGTTGAAGGCAGCATATTAGTCTCACAAGATCAACATGTTATTTACCTCTACCGCTAGTCTCGGATATTTAGCAATTTTGTAAAGATCTATGTAGGTCAGCTAGCCACATTTTTCTCTCATGTTTGTGTGTTTGCAGGTACCCCTTAAGGTTGCGGTCTCAAGTGGAAAATCTTGGGGATCCATGTCTGAGCTTAATGTATAGTCACACCCATCTTTTAAATCTGTATCATTCTTCTGGGCTTTCCTGGGCTTCACAGCTTTGTTTAGGGTGTTTTTTCTCAAATGATGTCAATGTCCATTTTCTTTTTACATAAATTGCCTCATCCTTTGTCCTGCATCCATGTCACTATGGAAACCAGGCACCTCCCTCAGCTCCATCTGTATCTGGGGGCAACGGCAGGAGCCACAAACTGGATTGTGCCAGTTCAGTTTTTTCCCAAATCCTGTAAAAATATTTGACTGGGTTGGCTTCTGGGCTCCAATTTCACGTCTTGTTAAACCAGCTGTTTTATTTGCTGTGTTGCCAAAGTGAAGCTGCACACTTGAGAGGGCACCATTTTGATAGTTCTTTAGTTTAGTTTTTAGAAAAGCTAAACATTGAACCAATGTAGGTTTTATTGTTGTTGTATGTTGTTTGGTTACGATTGTTATGATAAATATTACTGCTAAAATCTGTATGATCTTATTATATTAAAACAGTGTTTCATTGAAGTGCAAATAAATTGTTACATTTTGGACCCCACTACTTAAGAATGATGACAGTATTTTATTTTTAGAAGTCATACATACTCTCGGAAGCTGCCATTATTACAATAGGCTAAATGAAAGACAGATTTTTTACAAGAAAGCCATCAATTATGTTATTTGAATATCTGTCTAATTAAATGCTAAATGATGTAGTTTTGGCTCAGGCTTATTTAACTTAGAGAATGGGCCAGTGAAGAACCTGTGGGGCTAGATCCGGAGTGACAAGATGGTAATAGAGTATGTCACTATACAAGAAAGAGATGAGAGCTTGAGAGGGCCTGGAAGGTACAGCTGACGGTAGTCCCTGTGGTGATAGGTGCAATTGGGGCAGTGACCCCGAAGCTGGAAGAGTGGTTACAGCAGATCCCTGGCACAACCTTGGAAATCTCTGGCCTGAAAAGACTGCTCAGAACAAAGAAGATACTACGCAAAACCCACAAGCTCCCTGACACATACTGTATATGGCATGTTTCTGAACAACAGATTCAGTATAACTTCATATTATCTGTGTAGCTGATCTTGTTAAGGTGTTCTGTAAGCTAGCTACAGTGTTTGTGCATACACCTTGAGATGTCAGACTACATCATTCTGTTTGTGAAAATTGCACATGAACTATTTTCTTGTTTCTGTCAGATGACAGTAATGTGCTCTCAGAGACTTGCTGTGACGAGGGAGTGCCTTTCTCCACAGGTCAGTCTAAACAGTGCTTTGGAAAGCTAGCCCTCTGTTCTCTCTTTGTGAGCTGCTTTAAGGGTGTACACCAACCATATATGCATGCATGTTTATTTTTGGCTAAATAACCCTAATCTTAAAAAATATCATGTGTGAAAATACTCTTTTCATTGTTTTATTCAAGAAGGCAAATGTGAGTTACTGAAACTACCTGTGACCTGTGCTTTTCCAGGAAATGAATGTGACGACCAAAGATTTTAGTTGTCAATGGCAACAAGAGCTTCCACACAGAGCCTTGGAAACTGATACATGTAAGTAGACCCACATTTTCCATGATATAGATTAAAATGGTTTTGCCCGACAATATGATTTATTTTGTGAAATATTGTTATGATTAGTAAAGTTATGACTTATTATTAAGTATTCTGGCACTGGTATGATAAATTATATCTGCCAGTTGTGAGACAGCAGCATGTTGCATGTTCTGCATACAGTTGAAGAAGCAGTTCTGCACTGCTTCTTCAACCGTGACGTGATTTTTGCTCTTAACCTTCAGTATGAACACCAAAAATCCACAAAAAGGCACTTGTGAAATCTTAATACATTGTCTTTTTAATTAATATATATTTACATCCAATCATTATGCAAGTCCCATCTTTACACCTACATGTATACCGTTGTCTCGTCATTATTAAAACAAAACAAAAGAAATACAATGATATTAGCAAGAACAGTATTTTAAAGGAATAACAAGGAGAGAGAAATGACAGCTAAAAGAGCCCAATGTGGACTGGGATCACCACCTTTAACTTATCTCAATATTCAATATTCTATTGGTCACTATCTGGAGTGAATATTTGACAGTGGTCCTAATAATGTTCAAGCTGATCTTCACTTTGTTGTGCCTATCATTCTTTCTCCTAAAAATGGCTGAGCATGTTTCCTAGCAACAGACAATAGTCATGACCGGTCCTGACAGCTCGTCACATGCGTAGGTAGGCCCTAAACCCTGGCCATGCCATGCTATTAGTCTACTCCTGTGAAATTTTACACAGCACAGCGGAACGAAACCCATGCTAGTGTGAAGTTTTGTTAAAATATATATCAATGCATATATTTTAAATCATCACTTTTAGTTACAAAAGGAGTAAAAAATAAGCCCATATGCTATTTACATGTATTACACTTTACAATTTACATTGTTTTAGATCCAAAAGAACAAAAACATGTGGAATATGACTTTGTAATAAGTCTGCATTGTTGTAGTAGCAACAGTATATTCGGACTTGGTGTTTGCTTATGTTCGTTAGATTCTATGGACAGTAGACTAATAGCACAGAATGCTAATATTAGTGTTCCCAATACATTGTTTTCTGGAGCCCTCTCTTGTTATTTCTTTAACTTTCGTAAAAAAAAAAAACACCTTGGTCAAACAACCAACCAATCCCCATTCGACTTCATCAAATCAATGGTATTGTACAAATAATAAATGGATGCAGCATTTCAACAAACTCTGTTGGTCATTCACCCATGATTTTCAGTTTGCTTTCATTTATTGCTTATTGTTAAAATGGCAAACTTGCAGGATTTCCAAATATAAGTAAGGCTTGATGAATAGTGTAAAACAGTGTTTTGCTAACAATTATGTATATGATTTTTGTGTATCTTAATCCAAATTGTTGTCCTTTTTGTGATTAATCCGTGTATAGAACTACAACAGAAATGATTTAATCTTATTTTAGTCTACACACAGAGAAGTCCTCTTTACACCTGATGTTGATGTGGGTGGAACTCAGAAGGCCACATTTTAGATATGGTGCTACTTGGGAGGTAAAAAAAGGTTTCTTAGGTGGTACTTGATGTGATGTCATAAATGATGAAAGGCATATTACTGCTGTTTCTTTTAACAGAATTCCACCTTTTCCATTTCGCCGTGAGCCATTTTGACAAGTCAGATATTATCTTTTCAGTCTAGTGTCAAGGAGAATGTGAAAAATTGGTGAGCATTGATTAGTAGCAAAAGAAGACACAGTTGTGCGCTACAAGTGTCTCTGAGTTGTTGGCACCTGTGGCCTCAGTCCAAGTGAGTCCAGGCCTTGCCACAGTGGTCATCTTCACAGGGAGGCAGAGAGAGAGGGAGTCCTGGCTGCCCCAATGCTGCACCGCCATCCACTGCCAATGTGGCACATTTCTCCCTCATCCCCTCCTTTTAGTGGAACAGTCCATTGACAACCATCTTCAGAGATGATAAACTCCATGGTCATTGGTACAATGAAAACAAAACAGGTTGCAATAAGTTGTACAGTAACAATAGAATAGAGGAACCACTATTTACAAACACAGAAACCGTTTCTTTTCAAGGCATTTGTTCATTGTTCCTCATGAAAGCTGGGGTAACCATTTTTTTCTTAGAAATTGGCTAATTCTGTGTTTCCCTCCAAAAAGTATATTTCAAATAGAGAACCTCTACATTGTCTTTATCCTACTAGAAAACACTTATGTTATAACTTGTAAGTAAGAACCATGTGAGTCCCTATTTGACACTTTGGGCTTAGAGCTGAGTGGATGTTCAAGAGGGTTGTCCCTTCTCATTTTAGTCTGAATGTGTTCGAAAGCTACACATGAGGGTCAGTACTTGTTATGTTTTTAAGCATTTGCAATAGATGGAAACAAGTTTGATAGATTCTTTCATTATAAAAAATAGGTACTCCAGCTTGAATAGGTGTGTAACCCAATGAGAACATAACATTATTCTAAGACTGTAAATGTTGGCAGTTTACATTCATGTCCGTGGGTGTTAAACTCAGCTGAGTTCTCTCAGTGTGTACAACTGTGTAGTGTTCTCATCCCTCCTGAACCGAGTGCATGAAACACTGACATTTTTACAATGGTAATATTTTGTATTGTAGAAATTAAAAGTGTAATCTTTGTAATACTGGCCATGGGTTGTGCATTTACCATTTAACAATTTTTGTTCAAAGCACTCAGAGATAAAAGAGCCTTCTTAAATACAAAAGGTCTCTATGCAGCATACTTCTCAACCAAACCTCAGCCTTGATAGAGAAAATATAAATGCGTTTCTCTAAAATTAGCCACATGGAAACAGTGTTTCTGTATATGAACACGTGTTTGTGTCACTACATTCTGTATTTGAGTCAGTGTCCTCTTTACCATTCGAATTGGCCAAGTAGCCTACATTTCCGGCTCATGAGGCCATGGCAAAGTTGGTATGTAGAATATATCTGGTAATGAATGTACAGAATATGGATCCTGACATAATGTCCATTAATAAGGTTTGCAATTTCATTTGGCAAAACAGAGAATGGCAGCAGCAAAAATGGCTCAGAATTGACAGACTTCACAAGTAAATTTGAAGTTTACAATGAGCATGGGAAATGTCCTTCCTTCACATTCTTATAATGTAAGTTACATAATGTGAGAAAAACATGGTTTAAAACAAAAAATTGATTGACAAAAATGATCCAAGCCTTGTGTTACCATCCAGAGGTGTTTTCAAAATGTTTCAGCTAAAGCACATTTTGCTTTATCTGTGCATCTGGATGAATTGTGCCCCATTGTCTAAAAACCAAAAAACGAGCAAAAGATAAACGTTACCATCAAGTTGAAACCGCCTGGGCAGTAACTCATGTCAGATATTCCTTTGTCAATTCTGATCCAAAAAGTAAAAGAGCTTAAAGATTCTGTATGTTCATCGTTTCACTGTGCTGTGTTTCATACCTAAAAAAGTGTGTTTAGAAACAAGTTTCATGCAAGTAGTACAAGGTTTGCCTTCAAACAAAAATTACACATTTGCTTGTTTGTCTGTACAAGAACAATACTTTTCCATATATCCATACAGTATATATAGTTTACATTATTGTCTTCTTTTTCAGGGCAGGCACCGTATGCACTGGGTACAGAGGCATGCCACTCTTGCATTGCTTTTTGCATTCTACAGTTGGATGGCTGGCAGGCATCATGTCATCCAAACAGGATTTCCTTAGTGAGTGGATGTTCTTATTTTTTTTTAACACTCATTACAGATGACCCCTACAGGGTACCTCTAATCCACACCATCCACACATGGAGCGCCCTGCGTGGATGACATCTGATGGGGGTGGGGTCTGGGAGCTTCAAATAGAATAATAAAAGCGCTGCAGCAAGGCTCTGTGGCACATGCAGAGATGTCGGGAAGGGGGATGGTAGGGCCAAAGGTCAGTTCAAGGTTCGGCTGGGAGGTGTGGGGTCTTGCCCAGGGTTGCAGACAGATATATGAATTGGTTTAGGTAAGATTTTGAAGGAAGGTCGAGGTGGGAAGGGTCAGGTGATGATTAAATATGAAGATCACTTTACAAAGGTTATTTTTTGCAATTTTTTTTTTTTTTTTTACATATTGATAATGTTACAGCTGAGTATCAGAGTGAATACAATCTGAATCTATTGCTGGTAGAGAGGTGGAGGATGGAAATTAGGAGAGTAGCTTAAGTAGAAATCAATACGCAACTGATTGGACAAGGGCTGATTTGAATCATAATTGTATTGTGCTCATTGTGTGCTGTAGGTTTACAAGTATTGCTCATGTTGTACCCAGGCTGTTTTAAAAAGTGGAATTACAAATCCAAAATATGTTGATTGAGTATCAGCTAAATTTGCATAATATTTTGTCAAATAGTAAACATATTTAAAATGTACATTAGGATTCATTCCTAAGTAGGTAAACATTTTAATACGAAGTAGTTGTGTTTGCAAGAATAATGCCGGAAAGATGCTTATTAAATGGTGTTTACAAAATAACAAAAATGTCATTGACCACTTCTAAACACATGTACAGTCTACTCCAACATGAAGCCACTTGTCTACAACACGACCATCAGACACCCACTCCACTGGCACCAGATCAGGCTCAGTCATCAGGGCGACTGCAGCCGAGGAGAGGGTGCCTGAATGGTCTGTTCGAAGTTTGTTTCAGCTAAACAGCCTTTCACTTTACAAATATGGAGGGAGGGGTAACACAAAAGTAAAAGTTGAACAAAATGTATAAATATTAAAACAATTCTTCCTTCAAAAATGTACGGGAATGAAAAAAACTGCAGCCAAAGAATTATTGATTGTTAGAGAATGTACTAGCGGAAATGTTAAAGTTATTTGTAATGAATAAAAATAAATATGTTTTGAAGAGAGGATGTTGGGCGCTTGTCTCCCTCTTTCTCCGTCAGCCCTCACTCCTCGCGGATTTGCAGGCGATATCGGCTGTAGCGGATCTGAAAGAAGAGCCTTTCCAGGGGCGAGCGGCTCATCCCAGGCAGCCTGTGATTTTCGCTCTGGCTGGTCTGACGGAAACCTAAGGACTCATACAGCTTGTGGGCAGCCAGTTTCACGGCTGTAGTGCCCAGAATCACTGCGGCGTAGTTGTTCCGAACGGCAAACTCCAGCACCCTCCGTCCGAGAGCCTTGGCGATGCCCTTTCCCCGGTATTGAGAGTCCACAGACATGCGACGCAACTCTACTGTGTTGTCCTCCTCTCTGCCTTGCGCTGCTACAATGCCCACAATGTGCCCATCCAGCACTGCCACCCAGAAACAGGAGCCTGAGAGGGACAAAAATACAACACTCAGTATGGACCAAACCTGTATTCATATTTAATTCATAGTAAATTAATAATTAATTATAAGACATAAATACTTCTCAGATTGTACAGACACATGTTTTGAAATAAAATAAAATAATGCATTTTATCTTATTATTGAGATTGATATTTAAACAGTACTTGTTCACGTTTATTTGTTCGAATACAGAAAGTTGTGGTTAGTGGGATGACTCAGAAGGGAATTACTTTAAGACTTAACTTTGACGTTTTGCCTAGTGTTAGACGCAGATGTAGTTGTGACACCATATTAGGCATAAACCAAATGAATACATTAATGTTACTGTTTATTGATTGACTTCCTGTTATATCAAATCCTTTTCGGAAACTGCTAAAGCTCTGAGCTTATTCCCTTTTACTGATTGCATGTGTTCAAGAAATATGATCCTTTCAACCTCCTGCTTTCATTTGTAGCACCTGGTTATGTAGGGTCTGTGTAAAAATACATATTATATAAAAATGATAATCACTGGTGTAGGCTTGTAGAGTGACTGGTATCTCCTGTCTGACTATAATTAATGATAGTGTGGTTAACTAAACATGTGACTAGACCATTTTATATATGAATAATGAAAGTAAAATGCTATTATAAGACAACTTGATTGCACAGCTCAGATCTTTTAAAAAAGGATGGAGCTGAAGTTCCCCTAGAGAGATAGAGTTAATAGGTTGTTTCCCGTAGGTAAATCTCAGTCTGTAAACACTGTATTATCACTTATGAAAATATTACTGTGTGGACTTTTCATTTTATCATGTTACGACCACAAACCTGAAGACTTTTACTTCAGATTATTACTGAAAGACCACAACAGAGTAACACACAGCCATGAAGTGCTTCCTTGGACTTCATGATGTTGTTTATTGACTAATGCACTTTAAACATAGCTCTGAGGCCCTCACTGAACAGCTGTTATTATACTGGGAGTAGATTACACTCAGGTGGCCTCTATTTAACGGTTGGGCCATTCAGTAGTCATTAGGAAAATTAGCAATCAGAGAAATGGTATATGATTTATAAAAGCCCAAGTTTCAACTTTCACCTATTTGAAATCATGTATAATTTTGCTTTCACTTCACAGTTGTATGTTAATTTGTCATCTACAAAAATATGATATTTGTTTGTGTGAGCTGTGTTAACACTAATGCGCAAGACTGGTATGTGCTGGGAAAGGACACAAGTGATTGGACGCTCGCTTTTGACTGGCGCTCACAAAATGGACCATCAGAATGCGCTTGCGGGGCTGTTTTAACCCTTTAGGCGCCAGAGTTTAGGAAAATTAGATAGAGGATAATTAAGGAAAATCAAGAAAACTGCTTTTTACTCAAGTCATAAAGGCAATTCTACCATTACTATTGTACACTCAACAATTACTTTGTTGGAAGTAATAGAAATATATTTTTTAACAATTACTTCTTAATAATGCCGTTTTGCAAATTAACTAAACTAAACTAAAGTGAACTAAAAGAGAATATTTTTGCTTTTGGTTTTGGAAACTTTATGTTAAATTGGGGGAGGGGAATGGGAAGGGAAGGGGTGCACATGATCATAAACACTGAACGAAGTGAGAAAAGCGAAAATGGGTTCTGTGTCCTACAGATCATTTGTAACGATCCACACATGCTCAGAAATCTAATTGCATCTTTCCACTGAAAGATATGATCAGATGTCTTAAAGTACTTTACAAGGATACAGTGTGTCTCTGCATCTGCAGTTATCAAATACCGAACGACCAAAGCCGACAGGAACAGTTTTGTGTCTTTATAATTATTTATAGTTTGTTCACCTTTGTTTAACAAGAATAGTCTTGCTAAGATTTCAGAATAACTTCCTGACCCCAAAAGATTAGAAAAAGCTATTCTGAACAACATCTACAACTAGAAGAGTCAATTTTCTTTTCTGCACATAAAGTAGATAAATAGTAAATGCAGAAACAGCTTTTACATATAATCCTTTAAAAACCATTCTGGTAAGGGTACATGGTTCTCATCTCACATGTTTCTGAAGTGTCCTGTCCCTGTGTCACAGCTGTTTCTAGGGTCATTCTACATGTGAAGCATAGATTAACCTGTCATGAAGATCCCACATCAGCACTTTCCCCTGTGTCATGGATTCTCGGGGCTAAGGGCAATTAAAGGACACTTAAAGGATATGCACATGAACTTGCAACGTCAAGTGAATAATTCATTCTTTTATAGTGGAAGAAGCCCTCACGGACTACAATCAACTTGGCCTTTGAGCTGAACATATGGACCAGCTATCCTCTGTCACTTGGGTGGGCTATGACTCTTATTAGCTATAAGAAAGTAGTTATGCGTTCATTGAAAGTCAGGTTTACTCCCTCTGCAGCACTGAAAGTATTTGTTTCCATAGAACTTGAATGTACAGGGTCCCATTATTGACATGCCACTTTTCTCAAAGCTGCTATTCCTTCTGTTTTGGAGGTTTGTTGATCTACTGCCTAAACTTTAACTATAGCTTTTTTCAACTGGGAGTCGAAAGGCTTGAATCAATGACAGGCTTTGAAGAGGCTGTGATTGGTCAGAGTGAAATATGAAATTATGGCGAAGCTGACACAATTCAAGAGTTCCCAATAAGACCCATTGTCATCTATTGATTTGAGGAGAATGTGAAATGAAGGCTGCGGTATGCAAGAATACAATGCATGATTAATGATTGGTTTAACTTCCATCTCACACTGCAGCTCCATGTGACCTCCTGCTTCACATTGTATATGGTTTTAAACATGTTTTTACTCTGTTGGTAGTGGTCAGAGTTTGTAAGGGACAAATCATTGAAAAGCACCTTATTTCAAATGATTGTGAATTAAACCTTTTTTCATTTTAACATCTCAGCTCATTTTTGTGTGCAGAATGGCAGATGCTACTTCTGCAGGACCCCAGTCTCTTCGGTTGAGAGTCAAAATCATGAGAAAGTGCTCTACACAGGTGGGAGGCAATGTTAGTGACTTTTTGATGATGAACTAAGCAGCTATAACTACTTGCAATGGGACAGGTTTTATTTTTTACATAAGTGGTTTGATTTCTTGGTGGGAAAGAATGCCTGGTAAATATTTGCCATATTTTTACACTAATCAAGTGACATTTTGTGACACAAATTCTGCAGGAAGTAATGCTGAGTCTATAATTTATTAAAATCTCAACACCTGTCTTAAAATTCAACAAGAAATAACTTACAGGGAAAGCAATTATCTGACAGATTAAAGATAGGTTTAGAGGATGTCACACAGTGGGGGAATTTTGCCTGTCAGCTGATGTGTGGTTTCACCAATAACAGGTTTCAAGGAAACCTGTTATTGGGGAATTGACCATTTTGTAAAGTCCTCAGAGACGACAGCTGTTGTGACATAGGGTTGTACAAAAACAAATTGTATTGATACAGGGATGGTTGTGGTTAGATGATGCTCAGACTGACCCTGCCTCATAACTGAAATGTCAAAAGCAAAAATCTATAGATTATCACAACAATGAAATGTTTCTTGGTTTGTGGCAACTTTTCAATGTTTTCCTCAAATTTTCATAATATATATATTTTTATTAATGTTGTTTGTTATCATTGTCAACCCTATTGTTTATCTTCTGTTAATATTAAAGTACAGAATTCAGGACCCTATGGCTCAGGAGCAAGATCTCAGACAAATCTTAGTAGGCAGTATGTATTTGTATTTGATTTCTTCAGTATGCAAAATGTATCAAACAAAAGAATACATTCTGAGACTAATATTACTCTCTAGATGTGTTGACCTCGTTTTCAAAAATTACATGTATTCACAGCTAAATGTGTAAGGCTTCCAAATACATACATTTTCAAGTATTGACTCTTTTGTTTCTTTTAGTTAAAAAGGTTCCAGACCTCTGTTCTAGTTAGTGATAACAATTATTATAAAATATCAACACATCTCAAAACACAAAATCACAGTGATGCACCAATTTAAAATATTGCATTCTTACAGTAAATTTCAAGCTTATTTATGATCCGTTAGGTCTTCCCAAAGTGTCCTTTTCCATTGAATCAATTATGTCTCGGAGCAGATTACTCTCTTTGTCCTAAAGATGTGCCTGACCCATCTCTGAACCGTTGGTCAATAATAGAGCCTAGTATAATTGCAGCTGCGTGTGCCATGGGTCATCAAAGCAAAGTGTCATAGAGGACCTCACAAAGGCAGGCCGTAACTAACACCTGTGTTTTATATAAAGCGCATGAGTTTGGTTGGTTGTGGATAATGCGCAGAGGAATGTGTGAAGTGTCATATGCTTGCAGTTAGTTCCTGCGGCTGGTGAAACTGAACACGGATAGATTTTCCCTATCAGAGAAGGAAATGAGCTCTGTTTTCTCCTTTTCAATCAATAGGCCTGAGATGCTCCCCCTCCTCTTTAGCCTCTCCCCGTCTCCTTCGCAGGAAAGAGGAACCGTTTGTGGGGGAAGGAGACGAGAGCTGCAGGGAGGAGGGGTGCCACGAGAAAACTGCTGCTTCTGTGCTGCAGCCCAAGACTAGATGTGGGCAATAAGTGTTAAGTGATATTTCAGCTTGTATTTATGAACCTATTCTAAATATAACCCTATTGTAAGCAATAATTATAATCTTCTATTCTCTATAGCTCTGTCAATCGGCAAATTTAACTATGGGTACAAATATAGAAACCTGAATCTTTCATGAGGAAATTGAGTTACATTGTTTATTTTTAAGTAATTTTTTGTTTTTGTTTGTCTACATTCATACATCCTTATTAGCAACTGAATTATTTAATAAGATACCTCAAAGTAAAAAGAATTTATGGCCACCTTGTTTGTTTCTAAAGTTTCTCAAGTAGATTATCCAATCAGAAAGCAGAATGATTCTCTCAGATTCCCACACAAGTCTCACCTGCAGGTTTCATGTAGTACGCCTCGATGTCGGCCATGTCCGTGTGCAGGGCATGGTCCAGATAGTTGTGGATAACTTTGCTGCTGTAGTAGTATCGTGCTCCCATTAGAATGAAGGGTGTACAGCAGGTCAGCGTAACGGATTTGGTCACAACAAAGCACATTACTATGGAGAAATGTAAGAAAAATAAACGAAACCTGTCAGAAAAAAGAACCAGATGTTTGATTTTTGATGGATTTGAACCTGTGCACAGACATGTATAAAACATTTAAACATAATAAAAGCATAAAGAATAGAGGAAACTAATTAGAAATGGCAATAGTGAAAAAGAGTCATTAGTTGAACTTGGCATTGGTGATTGATACACAGACACTACTAAACATCTGTATTTTTATCTAACAGATGAGGCAGAGTTTAAGGCAATCTTTAAAACCGTCTCTATGGAAACCTTATAATCATGTTATGCCGAATCCATACATGTAACAAAACACATCATTTTAACATTTCACATGCAAATTGCTTTGAAAAGGCAGCTTTGGAGAGAAGATACACTGCAGGAAGCGCCCTCTTGCAGTGTGCACGCCCACTATGTTTTGAATGTGCATGAGCGTGGACATTTGAACGTGCGCGCACCCCGCGGGCCAATCCTCAAAGCCATTGCACCATTCATTCACGGCACCGGCGCATCACCATATCCTCTGGAGCCGGTTTAACCACATGCACAACGCGCATAGCCATGCCTTTTGTGCACGATGGTGGTACATGCCGGTATATCCCGGTACGCAGAGTCAGGCACCGCAGGCTATAGGGGTTTTTGCTTGTCACGCAGGGAATGCAACATGAGCAAGCAATAGAATTTACATACAATGTGCTCTTTAAGTCTACTCAAAAGAATATTTTGATAAACACATTGGGTAGTCGCACTTACCTGTCAGCATAGCGTATAGAAACTGTGTTTTGGGCTGCTGCTGAAACCCCCTGAATGCACTGTTGGGTATCCTCTCCATGATTCCTTCATAAAAGATGCGGCGCACCTCCTCCCGGTCCTCGCGCTCGAACTCACGGATAAAAACCGCGTCTTTCCTCACGATCTTCGCCTCCGCGGGGCTCAGAGCCGCGGAAGGGGAAGAAGAGGGGGTGCTCCACATAATAGATTCTTTTTTGGTCCCTGGTATAGCATCATGTTCGTCTGCAACAATTTTAGTTTCGCAAACCATTTTAGGAGAAAAATGCATGCAACTGGCGGCGAAAGGCAATTAAGAAAATATGGGAGAATGGGTGGAAATGGATGAGGTTGTTGCGTTGAAAACTAGATGAAGGGGAAGAGACGAAAGGGGAATGTTTCCGCTGCAACCCTGAGCGTATCTGACGACCAAGACTAGACTGTGCCTCTGGAGCGCTATTTATGCATGCGCACAGGGCGGGAGGATTCAGGTTCAGGGGCCAGGGTATCCACGGGCGGTGTAGATTGGTGGAGCCGTGAAATGCTTGTGGATTGACGAGGGGTGTAGGGACACCACACAGAGAAGGCCGGTGCGAACCGGTAAAACGTGCGGTTGTTTGAGAAAATCTCGATTAGAACAATAGGCTATATGCATACAAGATCCACATGCAGCTTTGCTGAAACCTACAGCCTGTGCTTTGGTTTCTTAATTCCTCGACGTTTAAATTAGAATGTCAAAGTATTGTTATTGTAACAAGTGTATATGATTTACATTACTGCTGAAGAGACAAATTGCCAACTGAATACCGTCTGCAGAGGCTGCCTGCAGCCGGTCTGACTGACAGCTTTGCTGCAGTGCAGTGATTACATTGCCTGGCTTCTTGCTTCTTGCTTCTTTCTTCTTGCTCCTTGCTTCTGTCAGCCTGCTCCGGTCTCGACACAGACTCAGACAAAACTGTCCTCAAACCACGCGTGCGCCTGAAGGCACTGTTTTTCTGGGCTATACTTTACGCACAGAGGATGTAGAGTGTGGCGGCCGAGATGCTGCTCCTTTGTTTCTCCAGGACACTCCCTCTGCTCTCATCACTATGCTCAGATCAGGAACCAGACACACATGGGCCTTGGGTCCGTTTGAGATCGCAAGGCTTTTCCTTTTCATCCGGTATAGAACAGGCTATTTCCCAACAAACTTGTTCCTATTTTTCTGTAATCTGATTGTATCTTGTCTTGTATAAATATAGATATATGATTTTTCCTCTTTACACTCAAGCACTTTTTTTATTATGTAGCATGTCCTTTTTAACATATATGTTGATATGATTAACAAATAATCAGCAGTTGATTAGTCTACATCCCCCAAATGCTTCCCTCTGTATGGCTTATTCCCTCCCCCTTTAGAGGAACTAGGGAGAGGAGAGCTACAAGACATTCATCATCGACTGTCACACTCCTGCACTGCTTCTGTCTAGTTGAGACGCTTTTGTTTTTCAATGATGTAAGAGAAAATGTGGATCAAAAGAAATCAAACAAACGTGGAGCCACTTTTAGATCTTAAAATAGACTGACTTCAAGTGAAGGTGTGCAATCAATAGAGTTTCCTCATTGGTGGGGAGCTCCAAAATAAATATGTTAAAGCATATGTAAGCTACACATTTATTTAACTGTTGTCTAAGAGGACTTAACAAAGTTGTTGATTCGTCAACACAGATCAGAGAATCAGACACAGGCAGTGCAACTATAAACACATTGGTCCATATTGGGAGCGGATGGCCAATGTCTATGAATGTCCTTAAATGTCCTGGATCATCACTGTCCTTAGACAAAATAAACCCAGTTTGAAAAAAGTGAGAAACCTCGGGGAGGCCCAGATTGAGAGAGGTTCAGGCTGTAGATCCAGGACTCAGGAAATATGGACTAAACATACAGATTTCCTGAAAAATATTGTCACGACTCATAATTTTACAATATTTAACCATAATAATCTGTGCATATGTTAATCCACTCTGAAGGATTTAATCTCACATCAAAGCAAAAGTGCATCAGTGACTGCATTATTCAACTTTCTGTGCCACAATTTGACAAAGATGCTTGTATTGGCCACTGCATGGTTACGGTTGTCTGTGCCTTCGGCTGATGCTGTGTGCTACCTCACCTTTTTTAAGAAACCCAACTTTTACTCCAGTGCATTCTGCCCTAGAGTTACATGTAGTATTTATTTATGTTTTTATGTGGTATTAACATCATTGTGCACGATACGCTTTTTTATCAAGATTAAGAAGAAGAGATCCTTTAATCGTCCCACAGTGGGGAAATAAAAAGCACACAACTCAAAATAAGTGAATATTAACTTATACTTCAAAATATTAGGTATAAAAAAGTTTAAACATGATATATAAACCTGTGCAGTTCACACAAGAAAACTCAAAGTGTGTAAGAAAACAAGATAGAAAGAATCATACAATGCATTCTAATAATAAATAATCACAGTACATTAAAAAGTGTAAGGATACAATTCGTCTGTTGCATTTTAAAAACACACAAAAATAACTATAACATCCATTTAACTAGTTTCTATAGCTTTCAGAATGGTGTGTTTCCTCTGGTTTTCACATAAAAAGAGAGATACCAGTCCTCACTATCAGCACATGGTATGTAAAATATCAAATCTAATAAGAAGACCGTATGTTGTGGTCTGATTTGTTCACAATTTTTTTTACGTAAACAAGACGCTTTCTGTTGGGACAAACAAACTGTATTCATGAAACAGCTTTAAGACAGAGCAGAGTCATTCAGAAGCAGGAAAACAGGGACAATCGGAGGACAAACAGTACAGGCCAGAATCGAGCAACCCCTGACCATGTGAGAGGTCCCAATAGACCCACCAAAGTGCAAGTTGGGTCTGGCTTACGCAGAAAAACGTCTGAGGTGTCAAATCTGTGCTTTTTCAGTGAATAAATACAAAAGGGGTTTGAAGGTTGTCTCTAAGGAAATAAAGAGGATCCATAATGTTTAGACCAGAGGTTGAAACAGTGGCTTTCAAGCATTTCACACCAACATTTAATGTAACTTAAGAAATGACTGTCTTGGTCTTTTGAGAAAATAAAAATGAAATATCCTAAATGTTCAAACCCAACCTTGAGTTCAGACTGTTGACACATCCTGAGTCAGGGAGAGAACAGGAATTTTCAGACCCCTGGAAGATGCACTTTGTGTCTTACACTTTTTTATAGCACTTCGATTGGTGAAGTGTTTAGTGGCCTCTGGTGGCAGAGTTGCAGATTATAAATGTATCCTTTCCTCACAGAGTTGCTGATGAGATGCTGAGTTGCTTCATGCATTTACACTGGACCATGTAAAGTGTAGACTTTATTTATTCTTACTCCGTCTGAAATTAAAGTTCTGATGTATAAAGTAATATACCAATTACAAAAATGACCTCTCAATATTGTGTATTTAGCCGATAGAGCTAATGTGGGTGAAAATTTAACAAATGCAGTTGAGAAAATAAAATTATGTTTTTTTTTTTTTTGGAAACACAAAACTCATGCTTTTGACATAAGCTATTATCCTAAAGAGGTATAACATGAGCTATGACTGAGGGTTTAGACTGGTAAAAGGCCCTAAAATGTCCTTTTTTTAGTCCTCTCGATTTATAGCAAAAAAGGAAATTATAGCTACAACACATTATTTCCAGTTTCCATTGTACCTGTTTAATATCTTATGCTCCCAAGCCATTGCTCCCCACGTGTTCCCCTTTTGCATAATGTTTTATTTCAGAATCAGACATAATATTAAGTCAGCAGTTGAAGCTCCTGGGAAATTATAATGCGTTTACAGTGACAAAGTGAGGTGACAGCGACCTTGGGAAACATATTGGTCCAGTTGAATGAAAGATAAATCCTGTTGGCTGCGATTAACGTGGATTTTTTTTGTTGATTCAGCTTGTCCCTGCGTGTAATCGAAGCTTCCAATAGTAATCAGATCCGCTGCAGCCCACGGTCCTCACATTCGCCGCTGTTGTAAATTGAGATTTCCGCCCAAACAAGCTGCAAACTAAAACAGGGAGTGTTGCCAGAGCCCTGACACTTTGTTGGATGAATGTAGTTATCCCAGTGTTATCCTCTCCCAGTGTTTGTGCGTGTCTGCATTTCCAGCCCCAGTGCGGTGGTGGTGGTGCAGTGCGACGGCAGAGCTGGCGCCGTGCCTTTGCCTGCAACGCCCCCTGCTGGTCGCGCATGCATTAGCACCAGCAGTGTCATAAAAACGGATGTTAATAAATAATGTAGTAAAGTGTGTGGGAGGGAATGAGGTCAGCGAAATAACAAGACCTGCTACAGTTGCATTTGCGAATCCTGTGTTTTCACCGTGGAAGTAAATGTTAAGAAATAAGATACCAAAAACGCAATTCTAAAACTGTCACAATAACGCATGTTGATTGAAGATATTCATTGAATATTTTGGAATTTTTGTATAGTTTTAAATAACAGCAACAGTCGTCCTGTAGGCTTCACCAACAACAGATCAGAGAAACAGTTTGAACGCATGAAATGCATAATAACTTTATTGATATTTACTTGCGGCTCTTATGAAGCATTTACAATTACTCATCTCTGTATATTTTGTGTGTGCTTATTGTCCTATATGCTGGGCTGCAACATCAACATTTCTCCACTTTAGGATGTATAGATTCTGTTATCTTATCTTAACAAACACACAGAAGTCGTCTGGTCCATAGGGAGCGGAATGACCAATGTCCCAGATCATCACTGTCCCTAGACCCTCTCGGCCTCTGTAAACAAGGATATTGAAATGACTGCCTCAGATACAATTCCAAAACAGAAGGAAAATCCATGTTTCATTTTGAACCTGGTAGACCTCACTTTTTTAATCTAATTGTGTAACAGAGGTCAAAGACTGTAGATATTTTTGTGGTTTCAAATTAAGGTGCTCTGGCTTTCAGCAATTATTGTGACTTAATTGGCTCGAATTGTTTAGTGTCACACCAAAAATATCCAATATGTTCTCACTGTTACAGATAAAATGTAGAGACAATAAACATTGAGCCCAGAAATACTTTAGTCCATCCACTAAATTATATGTTGATGTAGTAATTATTGTGACAGGTCAACTCAAAACAATACTGGAGCAGGATGTACAATAACATTAGAGCATTTTCAAACTTGAATCTGCCCAGTTGGGAAAAGAAAATTGTATATTTTCTCAAATCAATACTAAACAAACTTATCACACATAATGCATTTTAAAACTATTAATCAGGATACGCAGACCACAGTTGAATATTATACTATAGGGCGGCAGGGTGGGCCTTTCTCAGTAGAGTTTGCATGTTCTCCCCGTGTCTGCGTATAGGTTTCCTCTGGGTACTCCAGTTTCCCCTACCTCTAAAAACATGTTCAGGGTGAATGAATGAATGAGTGTGTTTGTGACAACGGATTGAAATTAGCCCAGGGCTATAATCCGGAGTGATGTGTTCATTAACATGTACTGTCCCAACCAAATAAACAATAAATAAATTACATTTAAGTCTTTTAACTGTTGCGGGACAATTCCCTTGCGGCGAGCACTGGAATAGATAGATTATACAACATTAAAATATAATATTAATATTGTCATTTACTTTTTTTTAAATTTCAATTAAACCAAAGAATAAAGAGATTTTGTGAGGACAGTAACTTGTTTTATTTTACAACATGACAGAAACAGACACTTTGAACACTTAAACACTTAAAAGTACCTCATCCCATACCTACGTAGCAGGTAGGCCTCTTTCATATTTCTATTTTATCTATAATATATTAGGCATTATTATTATTCTTGCATACATCTTCATAACACATAAGACAAACAGTACCCGTGTACATAAACATAGAATCTATAGGAACAAAAAGTGCTGTATTTTCATGCTACACTTCGTTGCTAATTCAAGACTTTGTACTGAGAAAGTTACATTGCATTGCAGACTATGGTGACATCTGTTTAAAAATTTAAAAACTGGCAAAATAACCAGTTCAGTTACGATTAAGTTAAAATAAAGGTCAACTTATACAAATACAAACAGTAATATTTTCCTTTGTAACTTATAATGGATGCTACAGTTAGTGTATAACAATCTTAAACATTTCTAACACATTCATGTAGTAAAAGTACTTCCGTTTTCTACTACTACTACTTGTATTTTACATAATCAGCAAAATACAACAAAGTAGAAAAAAATATTTCATTCAACACAGATGGTAACAGGTGATCTAATCTTACAACTATAATGTAGTTGTAAGACACTACAAAATAGTGTTTTGTGGGTGTGTTTGAGGATCTAAAATATCAGTCGTATAAAAGACAATCCAAATAAGGCATGTTACAAACTGAAAGCTTCACTTGACGGTAAAATAAAATAAAGTGCCTGTTGAATAAGTGAAGACAGGTCTGTACATCAGCAGAGATTTTTGAGCGGAGTGAGCAGATTGGGTCTCAGCCCAGGGATCCAGTTGGCATACAGTCACATAAGGCTCTCCTTTCGGCCCGTAACACCAGATTTTCCGTCTGAAAAACAAAACGTCCACTTTTAAGTAGTCTGTCTTGGAGATAGTAAGTTTCTTGAACCAGCCCTCTCAGATAGATATTTGCATTTGGCATAAGCGTAATCACTCTCTCTCTACATGTTTATGCCAATGTAAGACGTCACCTACCCTGGCATCAAGGTTGAAAGCGGTCTTTTTCAAATCCAAAAGGGCCCTCTGCATGAATTCAAAAGCATGGCAGTCCACACATGGGCGACCTGGGGGTCATACAGAAGTACACATATAACTGGTAATATAAACAATCTTTTAATGAAAAGAAGGTCCTCAAATTGGTGATGGAAACGGGAAGCAGAAAACATTCATTCTGTAGGTTTCCTTCACTCAGATGATTTCACTGCAGAAGTCCTTTGTCAAATAAACATTGTGAACTGCAACGTTGTTCTGTTGATTCCAGTCATAATGCAATGATAATGCACAATGAAGCGCCATTGTGCCATTTAAGGAGACAGTTATGTGTGGAAAACATCTCATGATGGGATCTCCCTGTCATTCCAGTTCGGTTGGAAGCCATTAGAACCCTCAATATTATATTCATTTAATCCTTTAACCATTAATCTTAACACAAAAACATACACATGTAGACATGTTGTGTCTATTATGATTATTAGAGGCTGTGGTCTTGAACTTTCAATCATCTGATTAAAAAAATAACAATTACTGTAGTAATATATTTAAGGTCGAAAGGTGCAAAATATATTTAAGTTTGATTTTTATGTATACTTCTTTATGCTGTTTGGTCTGGACCTCCACATTTTTATTCCAATAGGGCAATGGGTCCAATACACTGAACACTGAGTGACCATAACAACACCAAGAAAAAGGAAGATCAGAGGACACACGCTCTTACTCTCAGCGGGGATCACAGTGCCCATGTCCTGGTCCGCTTTTGTGGCTCCTAAACACAAGAGAACCGCAGTGAGAAGCACCGCTGCCTGCAAATAGCCGCTTGAGGCCATGGCGTCACGACCAATTAAGACCCTACAACACAGGGACTAAAATTAGCACAGGGGTATGGACAACATAAAGAAGCGCAGTAGAAAACGATCATAATGTGCAGCACATACACCAACACATGCTATTAAAATATCTACTTGCGTACATCTTCAACAGTATATAGATTTATCTCTTTACCAAAGATAACGTACCTGCACTCAGGCGATGATTTGACGTACCAGCGCAGTGCAAGATGCCCACTGGGACAATTTTATGTGGAACACGTTACTGCGCCTGCGCGCTGCTCATTTTGATGTAGCCGTCCCATTAATTAATAGTTTCAAAATAAAACTGAAAATGGCCGTATATGTACAAAGGAAACATAATTGCCAGTGATTACTATATAATATTAGTATCCCTCGACATTTTTTTTTACAATCTTGGAAGGTTTTTTTTATTAGTGAGAAAAAATATGAGCGGCCTTTATTCGTGTAAGTCGTATACATGTGGTACATTCAATCTTTTTTTTTCATACAAATATATCGCGTGTATTAACGATGACATAGGTGAGCTGGTTGAAGCAGCGGTTGTCTGGGCGGGTCCTTGCCTCTGTTTTCTTAGGTAGCCTGTTAAAATGCCCGAACTCAAAACACTTCTTTTTCCAAGATGGCGTCGATGAAGGACAGCGACACCGGCCTGTGGCTTCATAACAAATTGGGATCTACAGATGAGCTATGGACACCTCCGAGCATTGCCTCTCTACTCACTGTGTCTGTAATAGACAACATACGGCTATGCTTTTCGAGTTTATCGCCGCCAGTGAAGCTAAAACTCCTGCTGGGGATGCTGCATCTCCCCCGGCGCACGGTGGACGAGGTGGGTGTTAGCAGCTTTAGCTTAACTAGCACCATCAATCCACAACTGCACCACGTTACACTGTAATAAATGATTTAAAAGGTAATATGACAGTTTAGTCCGTGGCGTGGGTTTTGCATCAGCCAGTCTCTTAGCTATCGTTAATGGTGGTAGGTTTACTATCCGGTAAGTACGTTATTGTAGCTAGCTGGTGTCATTTCTGGATCCAATCTTCAGTTTTTCCGCTACACGCAGGTAAATCGTCAGTTGAGGTGTTCAGTCTAACGCTAATGGCTATTTCTGACTCTTAAACACGCAGAAGAAAAGGCTTTCTCGGTTGCAGTTCAGCAGCTGCAGCGGGTGCATCAGCCTGGCTGGTCTGTTGCAGACATTATGGTGGGATGGGCACGAAACAGCGAGATGGGCGGGATTTAGAGTCAGCAAGATACTGTTAACAACGTGGACATACCTGCCAGCGCTGCTCTATCCATTTAAATTAAAACTTTAATAATGTTATGTACACGTGATCAGATCTTTTATGTTTATTACGCAAAACACAATTTCTTTGCTCGCATTGTACTAACACGATCCAGACTTCAACAGTGTGGAAAACATTTGATACATTCTGTCTCTCAGATGAAGGAGGCTCTGTCTGAGATAATCCAGTTGGCCACAGTGGATTCAGAGCCCTGGGTGCTTATGGTCGCAGATATCCTCAAATCCTTCCCAGATACGGGTTCTTTAAATTTGGACTTGGAAGAGCAAAATCCAAATGTTCAGGATATCCTTGGGGAACTCAGGGAAAAGGGTAGGTATACATTTATACGATACTCGCCACAAGTTATAGTTTGATTCATAGATGTTTTTCTTCTGCAGTGAGTGAGTGTGAAGCGTCCTCTATGCTTCCACTTGAATGTCAATATCTAAACAAGAACGCTTTAACCACATTGGTCGGACCTCTGACGCCCCCTGTCAAACATTTCCAACTCAAAAGAAAACCCAAAAGTGCCACATTAAGAGCAGAATTGCTACAGAAATGTAAGTTATAAGACATTAATAACCATGCACTTTAAATTCAAATAGCTTTACACTTTCATTTGATCTTTTTACAGCCACAGAGACTGCTCAACAGTTAAAAAAGACAGCCGGAGTGCCTTTTCATGCCAAAGGGAGAGGGTTGGTTAAGAAAATCGACAATACCAGTACTTGGACTCCTAATAACACTATTGACATGTTTTTCATATTTTATTATTGATATTTATTTTTTATCTATTTTCATTTAAGCACCTATGAAAGGAATTCCTAAAGCCCCATTTCGAAGTCCTACAGCCCCCAGTATGTTCAGCCCTCCCAGCAATCGCACACCTATTGCTCCTCCACGCACGCCTCTTCGGAAAGAGAGGGGAGTCAAGGTAAATTTTGACTTATAAAAAACAAATGTATTTTTACATTTAATATTATTACATATATTATATACATTATTTTATATTATTATTTGTTCTTAATCAGCTACTGGACATTTCTGAGCTGGACATGGTGGGAGCTGGACGAGAAGCTAAAAGGAGACGAAAGACTTTGGGTACCTTGCATCTTTTAACATTAAGAGATCCTTTATTCGTCCCATAGTGGGGAAACTTCAGTGTTGCATCAGCAGTAGGAATGAGGAGCACACAACACGAGATGATAACTCTATATTAAAATAAAATCTCTTAACTTTAGCACAATGAAGAAGCAAGAATTAAGTATGAAATAATAAAGAAGCAAGTATAATATACTTCTATATATCCTAGAGCAAGAAATATATAATTGTATTTATAAATCTGTTCATAGACAAAGTAAAGTGGACACATGTAGTTCTATATTGCACATTCTGACATTATTCAAATTGTTATTGCACAGATGAGTAAAGTGACAGTGGGCAGTGGTTGTATGAGTACAGTAGCTCTTTTTATTGTTTGCTATTATTGTCCCAAACTTGTTTGTTGTTGTGGACAGAAACCGAAACTGGAGAGAAGGCGGCCAAAGAAGAAGCCGTGGTTGAAAACACGACTCCGGACTACGCTGCTGGACTGGTCTCAGCGCAGGTACAATGATTATTTTATTATTGTTTATGATTGTCTGTCATAGTAGAGGTAATAACAGTGTATTTAATTTATTTTTCATGATTGTTTCAGAAACTGGGGGCGTTGAACGAGAACCCACTGCCATCAACCAGCTACTTACCAGCTACACCCAGCATGGTGCCCTCCTCCTCCTATATCCCCAGCTCTGAGGCACAGCCAGGTGAGACTCTCTGGGATGTCACAAGTACTAAACATGGAAGGAATAATTATCATAATATGAAAATATGTCACTGGAAAAAATATTGCGCAATAATTATTTTTTACGAGGTTTAAAATCAATAGGTCCCTCTGTGTTTCTAAGAGTTTTAGATTTGTCTGCAGCATCTTTGTTTGAAGCCAGTTCAGCTATTTCCCACACAATTTGTACAGTGCTGCTCTGTGCTATGATTCGTCTGCTTGTTGAATTACTTGCATATTCACCAGTGGAATATTTATTGAATCCATTTTTACTTTTGGTTCAATAATATAGCCGTTTGCTGTTCACATAAACAGACCGGGAAGTAGGAATGAATGTTCAGTCATCAGCTCTGGAGATCAACAGCGGATAGAGCCGTGATCAAATCCCTTCCAGTTACATGAAAATGTAGTACATTGGCCGCATCGCAGGGTTCTAATAACTTAAAAGTAGTAGTTCACCAATTACAGTACATGTTTTTGAAACTACTAGAACTAACAGAGCTGTCATTTTGACTGCTCCCATTCAAATCAATGGAAATCTGAAAAGTGAGTAAACATAAACTTGAATAAAACTGATGGTTAACTCACTCACTTTTGATTACTGCATGAATATAACTTGAAATACAGAAGCAAATGGGCGCAATTTAGTGTCAGCAAGATACTACCTGTTAACAACAAGGACATACCTGCCAGCGCTGCTATGTAGTTTGCTGAAAGGCTAATGCTAGCTGGTAACAAGTTAACAGTATTTTGCTATGGTTACTAGCAACATACTGCAGGAGTCTGCTATGCTTGCTCTTCTCTATTCCATTTCCAAATTCAAAGATAATTTTATTAGAATACTGACATTGAAATAAATTGCATAAAGAAACAGAAAAAGTCACAAAGTTCTGAAGATGAATAATGTACATTAGTAATTACACTTCCAAGAGACAAATGCTTTTGTGGCTCATACAGATGAGAAATCTTTAAATGAAGTGAAAATCTTTTAAGCTAACACATCTTTTCTGTCTGGCTTCATAGCGAATGCAGGGGGCTCTGGACGGGAACCGCTGCAGGCCGCTCGCCAACCGGAAGAGTCTGCCAGCGCGGGCACCGGCGCCGCTCTGCCGGGCCAGTACAAACAGAGGACCCCCATGTACAACGCAGGGACCACCGCAAACCCCGCCACCCCCACTTCCCCCAGTACCCCCACCTCCACGCCCACCACCAACGGACCCGCCGCCGCCGCCACAGCCAGCCAACCAGAAACCCCCACCCCACCCCCCAGCACGCCGCAGACCCCCACCCCCCCCTCTGCGCCCACCCAGCCTCAGCCCAAAAAGAACCTCTCGCTCACGGTAAGGCACTGTCAGACTGAGGCCTCGCTCGTGTTGTCAGGTCATGGTTAAACTAACCTCGCCATTTGTCCGTTCAGAGAGATCAGATGTACGCCGCGCAGGAGATGTTTAAAACTGCCAACAAGGTCACACGGCCAGAGAAGGCACTCATCCTGGGCTTTATGGCAGGATCCAGAGGTATAGTACTTGTGGGACACATTTAACATGAATTGTTATGAAACTAACATAAGGAACCTGGGAAATTATTTCTTGGAAGCCAGGTCCCTGCATAGAAAGTGTCCTGGAGTTAAGACTGCATGAGGCATTTACCTTCTTTGGCACCTATAGCAGCCTAGGCCTATTTAAATCCAACCAAGCAGGAGCACAGCAGACTCCACACATTTCCTCAAGAGAGTCTAGCCTCAACCTGAAGTCTTGAGGGAATGAGTGGAGTCTGCTGTGCTCCTGCTTGGTTGGAATGAACACCTGCAGCCACATTCTGAAATCAGTTTCACGCCCCTGGCCAAGTTACTGTTATTGTTTTCATAACAATAGATGATCCTGACGGTTCTTGTTTGAATTTCTAATGATATACTTGGCCATAGTACCAATAACTACTCATCTATAAATCTCAGTAGGCTCTTCTTTCTGTTAATTTTCAACCAAATTTATGGACAGTTCCTGAATATATTTTGAAGAATGCTGGAACGAGGTTGTCTCCCAGTAAAGTGTTCAAAATTAAACTAAATGACCAGGTTTATATCGTCTACAGCGCTGAACTTTTAATAATAGACATTCATACATACTTTTATTAGCGCCAAAACTGTGCAGCCTTTGTGTGCCTCTACTTATTGATATTCTGTGCAAGTGTAGGGTATGCTTTAATACAGGTGTCTCCATCCTTTTATGTTTGGAGAGCTACAGAAATGGCAGAACACTTTTATGCTCTAGTCTATTTAATAACTGGGAAAATCATACATATTTCTGTATAAACCTACATTTGTGAACATGTATAATTGGATTAAAGGGTTAACAGAATACTTTAACATTGTGTGTGTATAGTTAATTGCGTTCCTTGTTTGTTGCAGAAAACCCATGTCCGGAGCAGGGAGACATCATCCAGATCAAGCTGAGCGAGCACACGGAGGTCCTGCCCAAAGCCGACGGCACCGGCAGCACCACGATGCTGGTGGACACTGTTTTTGAAATGAACTACTCGACGGGACAGTGGACCCGTCTGAAGAAATACAAACCCATCACCAACACGTCCTGAGCACCACCACCAAACATCCGCTCAAAAACATTCTGCACCAAGGATTCCATTCATTCTTTCTTCTCCTGTACAGCCCCCAGAGTGTTGGACTCTTTGATTGTTTTTTTTTTTTTTTCTACTTTTATTGTTTGTTTTTAAATGACCCCTAAAGGTTGGGCCAATCCTGAGGACAGTTCAGTGGACCGTCTGTAGCGTTGACTCCCAGTGGAACCAAATTATGGACCTTCTCAAAAGGAACAAAGGACTTGTAAATCTTTATCATTGTGATGTAGCCTTTTGATAAATGTTTATGGAAATTCCCTTCCAGAGATGGGCTGAAAATAAAGTGAGACTTAATTGTGTCATTTACTCTTCCACATGATTAAAGGGGACATATCATGAAAAATCCACTTTTTGTGCCTTAAATGCCTTATGTTGTGTAGTTGGAGCCTCTAGAAGTGCAAAAAAGTTTAAATCAGTCTCTTCATGGGTTGCAGAGAACACTTCATATTCTGTTTAGGTAAGATTTTTCAACCCGTTCTGATTTTGCCATTCTCTATTACGTGTTTAGAATTATTACGTCACAGTATTTGCAGCGAGACTGCCATATAAGGGCATGGGCGTCTAACAAAACACTTCGGCCCAGCCCTCCTCTTCTGTGCATCACTTCGAATTTGTAGTCCAAGCTCAAGGATGCCAGCGCACAGGGCTGGACTGGCCATCGGGCGTACCGGGCGATGCCCATATTTGGGCCGGTCTGTCTGCCTCATACAAAACACATGTTTATGAGAAGTGTAAATCCGTTGAGAATTGTTGGAGCGGGGCGCGCGTATCCGCGGGGCACCTGCTGTATGTACTCGAACGGGATTCCGCCACCTCAGCGGCCGCAGTGTTCCGGGGCATCTGCGGCCGCTTTGTAATGAGCAGCTTCCGCGTCCAGCGGCTGTGAGCATCCAGCCGCTCGCAGCCTCTCCACCTTGTTGCGGCTGAGCGCGCAGCCTCAACGTGGCCATGTACCCAACCCCATAAACGTGCACAGGAGCATGCGTGTCTTTGAGTAATCTGTGCACCCAATAAATACATTGCTGCAGGAAACAGTCCGCGTCTCCCCCCTCCTCTCGAAGCGCGATTAAACGCCCTAAATAAAGCTCTGATACCTACATTTTGCATTGCATTAAAAGTTCATGTTTGAGCCCAAAAGTAATATGTTGTGAACAAATTAAACAGATTTAGAGCCAGCAAATGGCTGACAATATGCATTTCAGTCTTTTGACCAATTCTCATCCCTGTAACAAACAATAGTGTTGTCTGTGTCCACCTCCTTCACTCTGAGACATGTTTATTACTCTCTTGTAATGTAGACTATTGCATTTTATTTTATTGTTGAAACTGCACATATCCTGATCCTCTACAGTATTTGCTTCCACATACTATAAACCAGGAGTCGGCAACCTGCGGCTCCGGAGGCGCATGCGTCTCTTTCCTTCTGTAGAAGGAAAAACGTTCTTAACGTTTTTAAATGCTGTAAAATTATGCATGAGTAATATTCAATTTAAACATTTCTGTCAACGTAGTGCGTCATATCCTGCAACGTAGGCCCACGCCAGGCAGCCGCTGTTGTAAGCAAACCGGCGTGTGAGCATTATAGACTGTGCGCATCCCAAAGCTAAAAAGAGAAGAGTCGATAATAAGACTGGAATAAGAATGATAATTAACATTTGCTTTCAGTCAATGAGGAAGGCCTGCTTCATGTTTGCGATGTAATGAGACGTTTCTATGAGATAATTGTATCTGTGCTTAGAAACTACAAAAATGGCCGCTCGGGTGGAGTTGAACCTGTGTCAACTGAATGGGGGCGTGGTCAAAAGCGCCTCATTTGCATTTAAAGAGATAGCACCAAAACAGGTTGCTCTCAGACGCACCTCAGAACAGGTGTAGAAGAAAGGCCCGTGGAGCTACAAATAATGAGACTCAGACCCAGGCATTGCAGTTACGCTTTATATAGGCCACAAATTAATGATTTAGATGTAAAAATAAATTATTTGAAAACACGATATGTCCACTTTAAGCCAAAAAACTCTTTGAAACTATTAATCTATGTAATGTTCTTTAGTTTGTGGACCTTGGAATACGGCACATGATTAAAAAAGAATGTAAGCGAGCAGCCAGAGGAACCAGAGAAAGTAATAACAGCAAATAACGACAAAAACACAACTCTTAACTGTCAAGAGATTGACAACTTTGTTACAGACCAGAAAGATGAAACCACGGTTAGGAAAACCAAGTCGGAGATCGATATTTGCATAAATTAAAAAGTCATAAAACATTTATTAACCTCGCTTGCTCGGTCTGTACTGAGAAATATCAGACCATGGTCTTTTTGCACAGACCTCGCCACGGCTTGGTCTGTACAAAAAGGCCGCGGTCTGATATCTGTACAGACCTCGCGCTCATTTAATAAGCCGTTAATACCGCTCCCAAAATAGTCTCATGGAAATGGCTAGCAGTGCTTGCGGCTAATGCCATGTCAACAAACATGTCCATGGGGAAGGTTTGAGTTTATATTTTTAAATGAGCTTGACATAAGAACATAAAAACAGTTCTCGGCCACAGACAAGTTTTATTCAAGACAAAACTGTTGAAGATATTTGAAGACTATTTTGATAGTCACTGCCTTATTTTCCCGCGCCACAGCTGAAAAATGCGGGACTCATTTTGACCACTCCCCTTGGACCCGGAGCTAACAGTAACATGTATCTTGGTACCATGGATGTATTATATTAACGCTTGGTACACACCTGCATTATACTTTACTATCGAGTTATGAACATGATTGTTATAATAAAATACAGGCATGTTATATCTGCCACAGACGTTTGTTTGTAACCTTATGTGCCATGATTGTCCCGAAAAGCTAAGCTAATGCTAGGCTATTCAGACAATTGAGATCGTTTAAGGCACTTATTTGTATAGTTTATTTATCTTTAGGGAGAAACAACCCCACAGATTAAATATTAGACTATAGCTGCTGGAGACAGCAGCTATAGTATGCTAATAGTGTTAACACCTGTTTTATGTATTGATATAAAATACAGTATGGGATTAAAAATTATAAATACTAAGACTGGGATTAATGTATATTTACATTTACTGTATATATTAGACATATATGAAATGATAGAATCTGCCAAGGCTTATTATAAAGCACTTTAACTGCCATTGACGTAGTAAGTCAAGGTCAAGTTTATTTATATAGCACATTTTAAAAACAGACAGGACTGTCACAAAGTGCTTACCAGACATTGTAAAAATACAACACACAAATAACATTCAGCTTAAAAATAAAATGCAGGACACTATCATAAATGTTGCAACATTGCTTGTGTTAAAAAGCCAAAGCAAAGAAATGTGTCTTTAGCTGCGATTTAAAACTCTCCACAGAGGGGGCAGCTCTGATGGAATAAGGGAGAGCGTTCCAGAGTTTAGGCCCTGCCACAGCAAAGGCTCGGTCTCCATCCATCCATCCAGCCATCCATTTTCTTCCCCATAATCCATTTCTGGGTCGGGGGGGTGGCAGTCAGAGCTGCACCCACGACACATAGCACCAGCCCCTCACTGATCCTCCTGCAGGTGGTGAGTCCACAGCAGCTAAGATCTTTCAGTTGGGGCTTTGGGCAAAGTAGGGTTAAGTGTCTTACCCAAGGACACAACAGCAGTCATCAGTGGGAGTCGTGAAGTAGGTCTTACGTGGGCTTGAACCCACAACCTTCAGGCCCAAAGGCCAATGCTCTACCAACTGAGCTACTCCTCTGGTTTTTAATCTAGACCTGGGACAGTGCAGAAGAAGCTGGTCAGAGGACCTCAGTGCTCTTCCCGGAGTGTGCAAAGTAAGCAAGTCAGTCAGATATGACGGAGCCAGGTCTTGCAGAGATTTAAATACTAACAATAACATTTTAAACTTAATTCTAAAAGCGACAGGAAGCCAATGTAGAGACGACAGCACAGGAGTGATGTGCTCGTGTCGTCTGGTGCCAGTCAGCATCCGAGCTGCTGCATTCTGTACCAGCTGCAGTCTGTGGACTGAGGACTGGTCAAGGCCATAGTATAAAGAGTTACAATAGTTCAGCCGTGTGGATATGAGGGCGTGGACAACCTTCTCAAGGTCATTTGGTGGAAGATAGCCTTTAACTTTGGTCAACAGTCTCAGCTGGAAGAAGCTGGCTTTGACAACTGAATTTATTTGTTTGTCCATTTTAAAAGCACCATCAAAATACACACCAAGGTTTTTTGCAAGTGGGCGGCAGTAGGAAGACAGGCTAGATACACCGTTGAAAACAGACGGATCAGGTTCACCAAACAGTACAATTTCTGTTTTTGTGTCATTCAGGTTTAAAAAATTGATTGACATCCAGTCTTTTACATTGTTAAGACATTTCTGCAGTGCTTGGACGGAATCGGAATTAACATTCAAAGGCAAATAGATTTGAACATCATCAGCAAAGCAGTGAAATGAAATGTTATGCTTTTTAAATATCGAGCCTAAGGGCAACATGTACAGTGAAAATAAAACTGGTCCTAAAACGGAAGTCAATTGAAAATATAGTTTTTCACTCTGTTCCTATCCGTCTGTGTCCTCTGTATCGGGTTTGGTTTTGAGATACTTATTTCAAGATAATTTTTGTTTTACTCTACTATGTCCCTTCAGGGGCTCCGTAGTATACAAAGTGCACAGGGGAGGACTTTTAATTTTTTATTCAAATCAATTTTTTAAAATACATTTCATAAAATAAATGACATTGTTTCTACATGCTGGAATCCCTAGGCTTTGAAAGTATTAAACATATTTATGAATTTAAATGAGTAAATAACAAATTAATCTTTTTGACAGGTTATTTAAAAAATTATTACAGCTCTAAATGGTGCTCGCCCAACTTACGGATTTTTATTTTTCAGAATAGTAATTATATTATTGTGAATCATTACCTGTTCAGGGCTGCTCAGCTCTGGTGAAAAATGACAAAAAATATGCTACGTTATGGACATTTGAATGCAATGTCACATTTGAATTCTGCTTTTTGTGTTTGAACTTCTGGAACCAGAGTGGACTCCCAGAAGAACTCCAAACTTAAAGGTAGAACTACTTCTTTAGGACAAGTTTGGCCTTGTCAACAGTCTAATTGGCCCCAGGATCTCGCCAGCCTCCAAAAGCCTTCTCCAGGTACTGTGCCGTGGCGATGGTCAGGTGGTCCTGCAGCTTGCCCGCCACCACCTGCACTCCCAGGGGAAGGCCGTCCTGGTTCAGACCCAGGGGACACTGAGTGACCGGCAGACCCAACACGTTTAAGATGGCTGCGGAGCATGAGATAACACAAAGACGTTAAAGATTCCATTTCACATCATGTTCCACAAAGAAAATTTACCTGTGTAGATGAGGTCGTATATTTTGAAGAGAGCATGGTGGTGTTTGGGGGCCACTCTGGGGAAAGTGGGGTACAGTAAGACTCCATCGGTGCCTAAGAGCTCCTCAAAGTCCTGCTGCAGTTTCTCTTTTATCTTCAAGGCAGAGAGAGGAGGGTTCATCAGCTTGGATAACAGTCCAAACACTGGGACCAACGACATGTTCAAAATGTTAGTCAAGTGTTGTAAACACTCAAAACCTTATCTGAAAATACTCTTACAGATGGAAGCCATTGTGTGGTTAGACTTTCCCACCACGGCTTTGAGAAGCTCCCAAAGAGGCCAGACTGGAGGTCCTGGCTCACCGAGCAAAGTCGAGAAACTTGTGGGTAACTGTTTTATAAGAATCTTGCATTAATGTAATTCTTTAGGTTCTTAAAGCAGACTAGAGCCCAGTCCTCACATTGCCGTCGTGGTCCGGGAGACCCATGCAGACAAACCACATGTCGTACGAATGCTTCAGCTCTGGAAAGTGCACCTCTTCTACCTTCACCCCGAGGTCAGTCTCGAGTCGCTCCACCACCTCCAGAAACACGTGTTTATGAACAAAGAATAAAAGCTGAGGCTGTTTTCATCGTGTTCCACAGACCTTCCTCTGAGCCTGTTTCAGATCCTCAGAGACTGAGTTTGTGAAGAGCGCATCTCCACAGCTGGGAAGGGTGAAGAACCGCAACTTCTTCAAATCTACTTTTTTATTTAAAGACAACCTGGAAAGAAATCACAAATATTATAGTTAATAGCATGTCAGGGATAGCACGACAACGACAACCGTGACAATGCGGTATGGCGCAGGCGGGGCCCCACCTTGGAGCTCCTGGGTGGGGCTAACAATCCTTCTTTACCTGAACTTTTATTAAGAAAAGATCTACCAGAAAAAGCAAATCCTAAGTCCTGTTAGAAGAAATACTTTTTACAGGTGCAAAAAATGAACTTCAAAATAAAACTTACACATAGACAACAATGTTGGTGAAAAAAAGTACAGCCCCCCCCCAATCATAAACAATTAAGTTTCTCACCTAAGTTCAATGTATTCCTCCCTCTACAACTAAAAATAGCCCTGATGTAAATAGCCCTGATGTAAATACTGAATTCCTTCTGTGTGACTCTGTAAAAATTTGGGCCCTCACTTGTCAACATTAGCCCCAGCCATGATCTTGAGCATGGGCAGCAGGTCCTCAGCATAGCGGCACATTGGCCCCGTGCTCAGGAGCTCCCCCTGGCGGCCGGATGTCGGAGGCAGCTGGTTTTCATTTGGTACAATCCCTGGAAGAAAATGTGTCAACACCTTTCACCTGGTCTCAGACACTTTGACCCAGTGAATCACAGTCCCACCTGGTGTAGGTTTGTGGCCAAAAATACCACAAAAAAAAGAAGGAAGGCGAATGCTGCCACCAATGTCTGAGCCGACTCCAACGACCGAACAGGCTCCGCCCAGAATACTGCCCTCTCCTCCTAAGTGCGAGATAGTGGGTTAAAAACATCAGAAACAACACCAACATTTGCTCCATTCCCAATATATGTTTGGTCATTTCTGTACTATAAGGCGCACCTGTATATAAGCCACACCAGCTAATTTTAAAAAGAAAGTACATTTTGTCTCCATATAGGCCGCACTTGAATATAAGCCGCCAGTTTTCATGTTGTAATGTACCAGAGACGACTGTTTTAACCATTCACAACATGATTTAATGACAAGTTGTTGATGATGTAATAAATATTGAAAGTGTCGAACCTGAGCTGCCCCCTGCGATCCTGTCCTGGCCGTAGGGGTTCTTGGTCATGCCGTAGAGGTGATTGTGGGACTCTATCCACATGCACAGCTCTGGGACATTCGTGACCCCCAGCGGGATCGCCCCAGCCCTCTTCAACAGAGCCACAACTGGAGCGTCCACTGTAGCCACTCTGCCCTTTTTGGACACCGAGCCTCCCGTTTGGGCCATTCCTTCAAGGCAGAGAAAGGTATAAAATAAATGAGCTTATTATTTAGAGCAGCCATTCCCAAACTCAGTAACACCGAGGCCCCCTTAAAAATCTGACGGGTCTGCGTGGCCCCCCAAAATAATAACCAAGAAGACAACATTAAGAATAGGCTCTTCTGGTTATTTTATTTTGGGGAAATAGCCTCTGCTACAAACATTGTAATACAAAAATGATTACAGTGGATTATTCAAGTCAAATAATGAACACAAATATTTTAATATTACAAACAAAACATTATAAATTTAACATTAAATAATTATATATATCAATCAATCAATCAATCAAAGTTTATTTGTAGAGCGCCTTTCATACACAGGGCAACACAAAGCGCTTCACAGTCCACATCACAAATCATCACATAAAACAAACACCAGAATCACAATTAAAACATTAAAATCACACAAAAGATTAAAACACAATTAAAACATTAAAATCACACAAAAGAATAAAACCATTAAAACTTTCAAAATTACACAAGAAATTTAAAAAAATAAATAAATGACAGCAGTGCATTAAAAATGGAGATAAAATCCTTCAGTTATATGCACAGGCAAACAGAACAGTCTTTAACCTGGATTTGAACATTGACAGAGTGACGCCTCCCTCACATTTTCAGGGAGATTGTTCCAGATCTTAGCTGCATGGATCTGAAACGCAGCCTCCCCATGTTTGGTTCTCACTCTGGGCACCAGCAGGAGGCCAGTCCCTGTGCCCTCAGAGTCCGGGCCGGTTCATATGACACCAACATGTCACTAATGTATTCTGGTGCAAGGCCATGGAGAGACTTGTACACAAGCAGAGCCGTTTTAAAATCTATTCTTTGAGCCACAGGAAGCCAGTGCAGAGACCTGAGGACCGGACTAATATGGTCATACTTCCTGGTTCCTGTCAGGACTCTAGCTGCTGCATTTTGGATGTACTGCAGCTGCTTACAGGTCTGTTTGGACAGACCTGTAAGCAGGCCATTGCAGTAGTCTAGCCTGCTGGAGACAAATGCATGGACAAGAATCTCCAAGTCTGCCCTGGACACTATATTTCTAACTTTGGCAATGTTCTTCAGATGGTAAAAAGCTGTTGATGTTATTGATTTTATGTGGCTATTGAAATTTAGGTCTGAGTCCAGTATTACCCCCAAATTTCTGACCTTGTCTGAAGGAAGTAGGGAGAGAGACTGAAGTTGACAAATGACGCCCTCTCTTTGTTTCTGGGGACCAAAGACAATGATTTCGGTTTTGTCTGCATTTAGCTGGAGGAAATTATTTTGCATCCAGTCACTGATCTGTTGGATACAGTGAAGGAGCAAATCCAGTGGTCCATGTTCTCCTGCAGTCAGTGAGACATAGATCTGAGTGTCGTCAGCGTAATTGTGGTAGGACACTTTGTTTCTTTGTATTAACTGACCTAACGGCAGCATGTAGAGATTAAATAGGAGAGGTCCCAGGATCGACCCCTGTGGTACACCACAGGTCAGGGCCACATCATCTGAGACGCAGTCTCCAATCTCCACAGAGTACTTCCTATCCTCCAGGTAAGACCTAAACCAGTCTAGGGCTGTGCCAGTGACACCAACCCAGTCCTCCAGTCTCTGCATGAGGATCTCATGGTCGACAGTGTCGAACGCGGCACTAAGATCTAACATGACCAAAACTGTGACTTTACCTGCATCAGTGTGAAGTCGAATGTCGTTTGTTACCTTCACTAGAGCGGTCTCAGTGCTGTGGTGGGGTCTAAACCCAGACTGGAACATATCAAAAGAATTATTCATTGTTAAAAATTCAGTAAGTTGTTGGGAGGCCACTTTTTCAAGAATTTTTCCAATAAATGGCAGATTCGATATGGGGCGATAATTTTGAAGTCCCGCAGGATCCAGACTGCTCTTTTTTAGGAGAGGTCTTATGACTGCTGTTTTTAGGGCCATAGGAAATGTTCCTGACGACAGAGACATGTTTACTATTTGTGTCAGTGAAGGTAACAAACTGCTCAGGACGGACTTCAGAAATTTAGAGGGCAATATATCCAGGCTACATGTGGAGGAGCTCAGACTCATGATTATCTTTTTGACAGTTTCAGTATCCACAGGTGCAAAGTGAGTTAGCTCAAAAAGCTTCTCTGGCTGTTGCATTGTTATACGTGCTGTGGAGGTGATAGTGTTTTTGATTCCTTGTACTTTGTCATCGAAAAACTGTGCGAACTCATTACACCTAGATTTAGAGGAAAATTCTAGGGGCAACTTTACAGGGGGGTTCGTTAATCTACCAACTGTTGAAAACATAACACGAAAATTGTTACTGCAACCTCCAATAATGTCAGAAAAATACATTTCTCTTGTTCTACGTAGAACCCGGTTAAATTCACCCAACTCATCTTTAAAGATTTCATAATCGCCCTGGAAATTGGACTTTCGCCACTTCCGTTCGGCCCTCCGGCACTCTTGCTTCTGTGCCCTAACCGAGTCTGCCTTAGTCCATGGGGCCTTTTTCTTACTGGTAACTATTTTAACCGTCACAGGAGCAATGGCGTCCAGAACAGTCAGAACACTGGTGGTGACAGAGTTATACAATTCATCAACAGTAGAGCATGGAGTTTTCTCAAAATTTAGCATTCCCATGAACAGTTCACTTGTGTTTTCATGTATGTGTCTTCTTCTAACATTTGTAAATTCAGCTGGTGGTTTGCTAGCAAAACACATGTCAAAAAATACACAGAAATGATCTGACAAAGCAACATCAACTACATTAACATTTGATACATTAACCCCCTTTGTAATTAGCAGGTCAAGAGTGTGCCCCCTGCTGTGGGTGGGGCCACTCACGTGCTGAATGAAACCAAAGGTCTCAAATACAGAAGCCAGCTCCTTTGCATTTCTGTCATCAACATTATCAACATGTACATTAAAATCACCTGTAATAACTAAACTATCAAAATCTGTGCACACAAATGAAAGTAGTTCAGTAAAATGGTCAATAAAATCGCAACATGACTGTGGTGGCCTGTACAGGACAATGAAAAGAGTAGAAGATTGCTTTTGTTCCATTTTAAAAGAAATATACTCAAACGATGAAAAATTTCCAAGGGGCATTCTATGGGAGACAAAGTGCTCTCTAAAAACTGCAGCTATGCCTCCCCCCCTTTTGTTTTCTCGTATTTCGGATTCGAATTTAAAATTGGGTGGTGTTGCTTCTATTAGAACTGCATTTCCTGTATTTTGGTCGAGCCATGTTTCAGCCATAAGCATAAAATCAAGATCATAAGAAGTGATAAAATTATTAATTAAAAATGATTTGTTACATAGAGATCTGACATTAAGCATAGCAAGTTTAAAAATAACGTCAGAGTCGATTAATGTGGTTGATTGATTTCTACAGGGAACAGAAATTAGATTTGCAGAGTTGGACCGTCTAACTGCTGTCCTGTTTTGATTTCGTTTTTTAGAATTTAAAAACATTTTTGAGCTGGTGCGAGGAACACACACAGTCTCAATTGGCCTAAAATGTGAAAACCCTTGTTGTTGTTCTTTAGCTCCCAGAGTCAGAAGGGAGTCAGCACAGTTCAGTGTTTGGACTGGTAATGCACTGCCAGACGGACAGGGAGCAGTGTTTGCACCGTTGTACTCACCCGGTGCTGGTGAGCAGGAGGCGGGGGAGTGCGGTGGGGTCCGAGGGGGCTCAGATGTAAACAGTCACGCCCCCCTCGGGGAACGCTGAACAACATAACGTATGTAATCCATCAACAGGCTGCTACCGTATCTGTTTGGGTGTAATCCGTCTGGACGATAGGCTTCGTAACGTTTCCAGAAAAGGGCAAAGTTATTCACAAAGACAAAGTTAAAAGAGCTGCATGTAGCCTGAAGCCACACATGCAGCGCCACAACACGACTGTAGAGGCAGTCACCTCTGTTTACAGTCTGGATTGGACCAGAAATAAAAACAGATAGTCCGGAGGATTGAAGGAGGTGGAACAGATCCATAAAATGTTTCTTCGTGACTTCTGACTGCTGAAGTTTCATGTCGTTAATTCCCACATGCACGACTACCTTGGAAACGGTATCAGGCAGGGACTGAAGCAGAGGAGGGAGACGTATGAGCAGGTCTGGTACAGTAGCTCCGGGAATACAGCGAGTGACCGCGTTGAAGAAGCGGACGTGTCTCACGATGGAATCTCCAATAATCAGAGTGGTCGGGGCGAAGAGTGGCCTCGGAGAAGGAGCTCGGTGGACGGAACCAGCGGGTTCACCCGAAGCAGGACCCGAGCCTGAGCGCCGCTGAACACATGGAGAGGAGGAGCGGGGGTGCTGACTCTCAGCTACAGGCGACCCACGCTGTGTGCTCGGGGACGCTGGAGCGGTGAGAGGGGCTGGCTCTGGGCGCTGCTGCTGACCCGGTGGAGGTGAGCGGTGGTGATGATGGCTCGCTACCCCAGTCTGAGGCTGCTGCACTGGGGTCAAAGAAGGGGAACAGGCCAACATGGCTGGTGGACCGCTCTTTCGCCTGAGGACTGCTTCCTTTAGGAGCGTTTTCCTCGCAGTGGACTTGGATCCTCGAGCAGTAGAGTACGCTGCAGTGTCCAGGGATTCTGCTGAGGGGGCCGGGATGTCGGTGGAGAGGGCTGCATAGCGGTTTGCCAGACTCAGGACATGGGCCACGGCGCAGGATGGCTCCTCGGAATCCGCGGGCTCGTTATTCGGAAGCGGGCGCTTAGGTGTAGAACAGGAGGGTCCGGAGCTGACGGATCTCTCCCACACGACAGTGTCACAATATGCAGCGCTCAGTGACATCAGCCGTGAGTGCTGCCCACCAGCGACTTCAAAAAGTTTGGATACTAGAGATTGTTTCTCATTCAACTCTGCGGTGAGACGAAGGACTTCTTTTCGTAGATCTGCAATGGTGGCACGGTCGCTCTCACGGAGCTCCAAGGTGAGGCGACTAATATTGTGCATGTTTGAGCCAATTTCATTGTCACTTT